ATGCTCTCATACCCTCACTCAACAACCTTGGGACCCTCGCGAGTCCACGCTCCCTCTTGAAGGCTAGGTATCGGGGACCCCATCCCCCTACCCCCTAAAACAACTAAAACAAAAAAAACTAAAACAACCTAAATAAAACCTAACAAACCCTAAACCAACCCTAAACCAACCTAAAAGAAACAGAATATGCTTCAGAAAGCAAAAATCTAAGAATGAGGCAGGAATAAACCAGGGAGAAGGCAGGAATAAGCAGAATGCATCTCGATACAGGTCAGCTGTGGGCATTTTGCTCCAGATCTGGCGTTGGACGCATCAGGCACTTGTCTTGCAGGGTTCTGTGGGTGCAGCAGCTTGTGCACCTTCAAAATTTGGCAATGCACAGGGAAAGTCTTTCCACATTTGCTGATCTTTCTATCACTTTAGGAGGCAGCACCATGTCCATAAGGTTCGTTTTTTAGCATCTGAAATCAGCAGACTTTTTGGAGACAGTGGGGGTCTCCCTTGTTCGAGGCCCGATTGCATCAAGCTCTTAAAGCTTATTCAAGGCTTAGTTCAGGTTGATTATGGCTCAGTCTCCGATATGAAGGAAATCCTTTTCTGAAACTTTCACCACGCCAGAATAACTTTCTTTTGCAAACAACGACACCGAGACTTGAAACCTTGTTCTGCAAACCCTACCAAAACAAAAATAACTTATTCTGCAAACAACACCGGGACTTAAAACCTTATTACGCAACCCCCAAACAAAATAGACTTATTCTGCAAACCCTACCAAAACGGGATAAGCATATTCTGCAACCCCACCAAAACAGAAAAAACTTATATATTCTGTAAACCCAGCCAAAACAGAACAAGCCTATTCTGCAAACCCGACCAAAACAGAATAAGCTTATTCTGCAAACCACACCAAAACAGAATAAACTTATTCTGTAAACCCAACCAAACCAACCATTTTCAATAACTATGTTAGATTACCAGAGATTCAAACTATGTTGACATGGTTTGGCAATCACATTGCGACTTCAAACCGTCAGTTTTTGTTTTCTCACCATGATGAATAGATCCCTCATTGTCAACCCAGGCAGTTTTCTGTTGTGCATACCTATAATCATTCTCGTTGTTTTTCCTTGAGCGTAACACGCCTTCGATATCGACAGATTCTGCACTTGATCATGAAAGTCCATGAAGTTGCAATTGCTCAAACACTGAAAAGGAAATTGGGCTCGTCAGGCTCAAGGCGTTTGTGGAATGCACTAAACTCAGCAGCAACAAGGCCTGCAGAGCGCTTCGTTGCAACCATGGTTTTGTGACTGCTTCTTTCACCAATGCTTTCACGCAGCATGCGTAGCACACCTCTGACATCATCTGCTGCACGTTCTCTTGTCACCACATCTGTACCAACCAATTCACCTGCACTTTCATCGTACACACCAACACCATGCATGAGGTATCTCATTCTGTCGGCTGACAACTTCTTCGTTTCAAGGTCTGCAAAATTTTCCTTTGTAGGAATGGATGATGTTTCCAACGTGGGAGGAATAGTGAACATGAAATCAACCCAAGTGGGTACGACAATGAAGATGCAAAAAAAAGGGGATGATCATGGGATAGTGATGGCTGCCTCTAGAGATAGTCACGGCAAGACCATAGTTTTGTAATTGTTGTAGATAATATTCAGAAGTGATTATGACAATGGTTGATAATGGTTCATAATGATCAATCATGGTTCATAATGATCAATTCAATGATGGTTGCTGGTTAATAATGGTTAATTGTGTCCAGGTCTTTTCCTTTTTATATTCTGACCATCGCTGGATGGTTCTTTGGAGTTCTATGCCACCCAGATTGAGACGATTTGGTCGTGTAAAGCTTTATTTGTTGGCTGTTAAGCCATGGTTTCTCGGTTTTTCCCACCAGTCTCTTCAAACTCCAAAGCAGATGAGAAAAAGAACACCTAAGAAAAATCCTCCCGCTCCATGGCGAATTTCATGAGAAAACCATGGCCTAGCTCCTTCAAAGATGATGGATTTGCCACGTCTCGAAGCTCTGGGATGAAAATGGTGAGAGAGAGAGAGAGAGAGGCAGAGACGAAAGGATGGGGTGAAAAGTGGTGTGTGGTATATAATATTTCTTTAACCACTTACATATTTACAAACGGTTAATATATTGTATTGTATTGTATTGTATTATATTATGTTATATTATATTATATTATACTATATTATATTATATTACATTACATTATATTACATCATATTATTATTTTTTAAATATTATATTATATTATATTACATTATATTATATTATATTATATTATATTATATTTTATTTTATTATATTATATATATATCTTTCTCAGTCTCTTGCGCGCTCCCTCTCTCTTTCTTTCTCTCTTTCTTTCTCTCCCCGTCTCTTTTGCATATCTTCGCCCCGCTCTTTATCTCCGTCTTGATGTAAAAGAGAGAGAGAGATAGATAGATAGATAGATAGATAGATAGATAGAGAGATAGAGAGAGAGAGAGAGAGAGAGAGATAGAGAGAGAGGGAGAGAGAGAGATAAAGAGAGAGAGAGAGAGAGAGATAGAGAGAGAGAGAGAGATAGAGAGAGAGAGAGAGAGAAGGAGATGCAAAAGAGAAAGATCAGGGGTTCAGAGATATGATGATTGAGATAAGCATGGTAAGAGATGGAGACGTGCATTAAAGAGAACATAGTGGAAAAATCCTGAAATGGTCACATGGTGGAGAACAGGCTCGAAATATCCTGAAATCTGACCCCATACTGCTTCACATCTGTTCACATCCAGACTCATCCGACTGTCCCAAAAGTTCCCTGGCCATCGAGGTTTCGACCGGCGCGGCCAAAGGGAAGAGATCCAAAGGCGCAGAGGGAAGGCGCACTGGTTGATGTGGAATTTGTGTGACTTTTTTTCGGGTTCATACTGATACTGTATGCAAGTGCAGACAGAAAAAACCAGGGGTGCCATTTGCGTTTTGGATACGCTCATATTGGGATGCATCTGTGGGATTTCCTACAAATGAAAACCTGAGTGGAACTTGGATTCAAAGTCTCCCAGCATCTTGGTGTCCCAGGAAAGGCGCTTGAAGCGGTTTCGCGACCTCACGTCACGCAAAAGGAAGGATGGTTCCCTTTGATATGGTCACTGATGTCAATCTTGGTTTGTTACCCTCTGGTAAACTAACATAGCTATTGAAAATGGCCATAGAAATAGTGGATTTACCCATTAAAAATAGTGCTTTTCCAGTTCGCTATGTTAGTTTACCAGAGGGTATCCTTTGGGATCTGGATTGTCATGTCTTTGGGTTCAGCAAAACCAGATGATTTGCTCAAAATTTCCTCAGTGTATATCATCGAATGGTCATTTTCTATGGTCTATGCATGGTTCATTGGACTACTTGCGGGCCTGAGGGGCTCCAAATTGCGGGCAAAATTTGAGCAATCGACTTGATTCTTCGGAGCAAAAAACATCAAATATCTTTGGATTGCCATATTTTTTTGGCTCAGCTGAACCATGAAAACCAAGATCCACAACAGGCTTTAATTTCTGGGCAAGATGCAAACACTAAGAGGTGGAGAATTGCAATGACTACTTTGCGGGTCAACAGTGCAAGACCATGTTCGTCACGCAACTTAACTCGTTATGAAACAAGTGTTGAGGCGATACACAAATAATTTCAGCACTTGCCTGCAATTTTGGATATTATTGGCGATACCGACAAGGCAAAACATATCCAGACTGTCTGCACAGAGATACGGCCGCTGTGCCTGTCCAAAGTTGCCAACGTGTCGCTTGCAAAAAGACTGGTTGCAAACTGCTCGTTTGGCAGCATGGATGGCTACCAGGACACAACTTCCGGTTGTGTAGATGTGCTTCAGTGTGTGTAAACCTCCCCGACATTGAGGGGTCTGCTAACACAACAAAGAGTTCAAAGCTTTGGTTTACTTTCAAGGTTGTTGTTTTGTGCTTCTTAGTTGCAGTTGAAATGCATCGCATTTTTGTAAAACCCAGAGCAAGGAAAACCAGAATTTGGTTGAAATGAATTTTTATCAAACGAAACAATCCTGTGGTACAGTTCTTTCAAATAATGCCTCAAACAAACTCAGCAAGGGTACCTTTTTGGAACAACCCTGAACAAGCACTTGTAATACACATCCCAGTTTGATGGCAGCAGTAATCTCAATTCTCTGGTGCTCAGAATTTTTAAAAAGTTGTTTCCTTTCTTCGTCACTGGCGGTTGTTTAGTGCATCTAATCTTTTTGATCATTTGCAAGTCAAATCTACCAGGATTTGCAGACGTTTGGGAGTGAATTCACTTCTGTTGAGCTGCTTATGGCCTCCCTCATCTGGATCGCAACCGGATGGCAAAGGAGTTCCTTCTGTCCGTGAGAAGAGACATCAACTGCCGTGACCCAAGGGCCCAAGGACAATAAATGGCATTTCTGGTTCTGGAAAAACCAGAAATGCCTAACTCGAAATGCCTTTTACAACATTTCCCCAACAAAAAAAACTACCTTGATGATTTGTTGATGTTTTTAGCCAAACAGTTCTGGTGGAAATTCCGACTTCATATTAGTTTCAAGTCAGAATTTCCCAGGAACTCACAGATGTTGAGTAGATCATCCCAATTCAAGTATATTTCTATCTGGATATTGCACAATCATCTCAATCTCAGGATTTTGCTCAGCAAAGCATGTCATTAAAAAGACACCCGGCATGAATCAGCTGGGACGGTTCTGAGGCCTGTGTGACAATGACCGGGCAGTGAGACGTGGGGCAGTGGTCAAGTTGGAGAAGGGCTCAGTGATCCACTCACCTGATCAGCTGTCATGATGCCGGGAGAAAGGTCTTTGGACACCGGGTGAGTGGCAAAAAATGCAACCACAACAATGGCACTGGGTTTTTTTCCCTCACAAAATGGAGGTTTAGTTCGCAAAATCATCGAACTCAATGAGAGATTTTCCAGCTGGCCCACCATCTTTGATGGCCAGCTGTTGGGATCCAAGCAGCTCAGCAGCGACAACCAAGGAGAAGGCTCTACTGTCTGGAAGGAGCCTCAGAGGTCGATGTGACCATTTTTTCGGCATTTGGCATCTTGGTCTGTCATTTCGGGTGGCTTATCTTCTCGATTTGGTATATTGAATATTTCTTGGAAAAAACACATTGGATACATCAAGTCCATCGTTTTTTTAACGGTTAAATCAGTTATATAAATCCCCAATGAGATGGTTCTCCCCCAGTTGGGTGATCCGTTTGGCTCCGGATGTTGGGTGCCGAGGCGGAAAGAGCCCTTCGCCCGAGTATCTCCATCGACTCTTCTTGGAGGAACTGCATAAGCCTTTGTTCCGCATGTCTGGGAGCCCCAAAACTGTGGGAAAGGTGGGATCCAGAGGAGTGGGGGATCCTCATCCGGAGAATTCTTGGATTATCCAAACCCCAAAAGGCTGCGGAAAAGTACAGTCCTCCCAAAATCTATGGTGAATCTATAGCCATTCGGCATCTGGTGACCATTTGATTGCAGGATCCCGGATCCCCTGCCCTCAGCCTCCCGAGGTTCGCGGACCAGGGCGAGAAGTGTCGCGAGGTTTCGCTGTCGATGACGTTGCGCTTCGCGGATCTGCTGCCGCTGCAGGACGTGGAGAACGTCCTGCCGTAGGGCCGCGTAGCTGGGGCGGCTGAACATCCCAACATCCCAGGGGAGTGTGGAAAACCATGGCCATTTTCGTTTCAGGGTAACAAAGGTGCAAAAACTCAGCAAGTTGCGGATGCTGGGAATACTTTGCGATCCCAGATGTGTCTTGTGCATCTCCCAGACATACCGAGGGTTTCACCCATTCTGAGGCTGCTGCTTGCAGCCCTGCTGGGCAGATTTCGTAGTTGGGACCTCAGTCTTACTCGGGAGCATGGTTCAAGCGTGCCAGTTTCCCATGGAGGTGGTTGGAGGGCTATAGATAGTACAAGTTGAGATTTGGGAGAGTTAGTGATAGTGATTTACAGATTTTTGAGGCTTGACTTGCGATGCTCGCTGGGTGTTGCGTCTTATTCACAAGTTGATTTCCATGGATAAGTTTCTTGTCGACATGCTGCATAATATCATTATCTGGGGGCCAAAATCGAAGGAGCAGTGAATGACCGAGTTTGGTTCGCACCAAACCACCCCATCCTGGGGAATGTAATTTCGTCCCATGAGAATGCTGAAACCAGCTGATGACTCATCATTTCATGGAAGGTTGGGGGGTATAGGGCTATACATATGGGCCCAGATAGACTTTTTTCTTCCCATTTCTGGACCATGGCATCATCTTGCCATGGCACCAGGTCATCCATTCCCAGAGCAGAGTGAGGAGCTTCGCCTTGAGGACTGAACCAGAGTGGAAAATGTTACATTTAAAAATGATGGTTTCAAAGATGTAAAAAATCCTGCGCATTGGGTGTTGAAGGCAGGTTTTTCAATGACTGCCCAGTGGGCGCAGGCCCTTCGAGTGCTCAGCCACCTCTTCGATGTCTGCAAGGAGCGGCCTATCGAGACATGGCTGGTTTGTCCCAAAATGGGGGATCAACATGGATTAACGCACCAACATTTTGCACTTTAAATAAGTAAGCCAAGCCATTATTTTTTTTTGGGGTACCGTGGGGTACCCGATTTTCAGACAAAGTCATATGGCGTTTTCATCCTTGACTAGGACGAGATGGGATTGTTACCGAAGAGAACGTAGGAATCTTGCTCTTATTCAACCAAAGTTCTGAGGAATCCAATTTCTCTTATATCAAGCAACCAGGAATGGGCTTTTGCTGGACAATTGCACAGCCTTAGATTTTAGAATTCATGCGATCCTAAGCATTCAGGTACTCATGTGTCATATGGCAAGTGGCCAAAGTGATGGGCACAAGAACCAACCCCTAAATTTCCAAGATGCAGCAGTTTTTCCATCAGAACATCCCATGAATTTTCCATCATCTTGAAGCCAGGAGAAGTTGAACCCGTTTGCCAGCGACATTTTGGACGCTCTCTCCAAGGTGCCCACATGGCAATGACTGGCTGCCTGGCGTATGCCTCTACCCGCAGCCTGGTGTTCACCCAGGCGTTGACGGATAGCTGTCCCGATGCAAAGAAGGAATGCTGCGAGATCACCAAGAAGGTGTTGTCGGCCAATCGGCCAATGGGACGCCGAAAATTTCCACACAACTTCAGGTTCGACATCACAAAAAACGGGAAAGCTCAGCTAAATGACCAGAAATCTTTTGGGTCAATGGATATAGTGGGGAACCATCCCATAATCGCAAAAAAAAGCCGTTCCCTGCAGAGATGGCCCGTGGAAACTGCTAGTTGTCGGTCCAGTGATATTGGGATAACTTTTGATGAGTATATATATATATGTACCTACGGTATAAATACGGTATATACCTAATCCCTTGCTCCCAATAGTAAAAAAAAACATACCTCCCAAACGACCCCGTGGACTGGATCTCATGCCAGGTGAGCCAGTACTTCGATGCGGAGCGGGTCAGCCGCGCGGGAAGTCCGTTGGTCGGATAGCTGAGTTGATTGGACCTGGGAGCCCGATGTCCTGGGGATGTAGCAATATGGTATCATCACTGCCCAATAGAACCGTCGCCTACCACTACTTTAGGACGATTTTGCCGTTTTTTAGAGGTTGCTATAGATTGAACGAAAAAACAAAGCGAGTTGAGTACAAGTGATAAACTTGATGTATTTTTGTTAATAAGGCATACCTAATTTCAACAGAAAAAAACGAGGTTGTCCAATTAGGTTTGCTGCACTACAGCTCCCTTTTCTTTATGTCGTCCTAGTACACTTCATAGCACTCAGCCTCAAAAAAACAACTGAAGAAAACACTGGGAAAAACAAAGGCAAAACATGACTTCAACATGATATGCTGCAAGAAAACAAGATGAACCACTCCATGAACACACGGGCAAACCTGTGAACCGGAACAGACTCAGGAATTACATTACATGATCTATACGCCTATACGCATACTACACATACACACATGCGTGCAACAAGAAAGATCAAGAAAGGCTTTTCTAGAACATTGCTCTCGGCCCCAAGGTCGCATCATTGCTTGCCAACCTCAAGCATCAGCAGTGGAAGGCGAGCCTGCGCCACGGTCTGTTGGATCTTTCGGTGAGAGAGTCGGCCAGTCATGGCCAGTCGGCCAGGTGAGAAGAGCCACGCTGGAGAGCATTGGAGCTCTGTTACTTCAGGAGGCGACCATGATGGATCACATGGAGGACCCCAGCCACCTTGGGCTTTGCGATTATGAGTGAAGGCAAAAGATATCTTTTACCTCTATAAAGAAATTGTGATACCAAAGCTGCAGCTTGGTGTGGTGGAAAAAAGGTTTCTTGCGACAGTTGTCGACAGGATACTTGAAGAAACATAAACAATCATAAACATATGTAATGATATGTAACAATATGTGTACTGTCTATAATATATATATATGTTTATGAATAGAATGGATGGATGTCCTAAACGAACACTGGGGGATGAGTCTGGCCCGACCAAATGGTTGCAGCGCTGTCCAGGACGTGCTCCCACATCTCAATGCTTTGCTGAGCGACAGGATCTTGTCTCAGCTTCTGTCAATTGTTGTGACTACATGACTGGTTGCTGGTTTGGAACATTTTTTATTTTTCCATATATTGGTAATAGTAACCATAACTGACTTTCATATTTTTCAGAGAGGTTGAAACCACCAACCAGATGATTTTTATTTTGAACTTTTTTTTTTTTGAACACATGGTGAGGGACAGCTCACCATCTTTTTTTTGGAACTGTGGAATTTCAAATAATTTCTTGATTTTACTGGAGACCCTTGTTCCTTGACACATAGCAGAGCACAATCTTCGGAGAAGATGCTAAGGACACCTGGGGTAAGACAGAGCCTTGCTGAAATTCTGGAGAGGCAACCCTGACGTTGGTTGATGAAACAGGGGTTACCCACATCTGGTTCAGGATTATCAGTGATGAGAATCCATGAACTGGGAAACCGGCAAGAACTGAAAGCATGGGCCTCGCGTCATAGTCTTCTTATGCTTTGTTGATATTCTTTCCAAGAAGTCCTTCAATTAAGGGAACATTTGCACCGACTTTTTGGTTAAAACTCCGGAGTTTGCCATACAGAAATCCTTCCGACAAACCAATCCATGGATTCTTGCGTTTGTTCCTGTTTGCTACCACCTGCTGCTCTTACCTCTCTGTTACAGGTGGCTGTTGAAAGGCTTGAGCTTCCGGGTGCTACCAGCCAGCAATAGTTTTGATGATGATGGGTGGGGAGCACAGTCAGTGATGATTGCTGACGAGTTTGAGACAAAGAATTATAGAGTAACCACTTCCCCAAATTTGTTGTAAGTCCCAAAAAATCGAAAAGGGATTGACCACTATTTCAGTAAGATATCTTACTTTTCCATGACTTCTTTGGATTTCCCAGGCCTGAAGGCTTCGAGAAGTTCGAGTCCCGGCTGCTGATTCTTCTTCTAGGCGCTCTTGGAACCGTCAAATGTCTTGGAAGTGATTGGAACACATGCATAAAAACAATTGGATGGCAGTCCATCTCAATCTAAAATCAATCTAAGCTCTGAAATCATTTTCAGTTTAAATCCATTCCATGCAGAAGGATTGGGGCCTGGACTGGATGCAGGTGTTGCAGCAGATGAAGAAGCGGAGCAGGCACCACACCCTGGCCTATTTGGCGAAACAGCCATGGTTTCTGGCGGATTTTTTTTCCCTTCATGCTGTCATTGTTTCATCAGGAGATGAATCGATTCGATCATTTTTTTTGGAGTGAACTGACTCGATTACCAGGGTTTTTCACCAGGATGGGGATCGCTTCCGCCCGGCCGTCAATATCCATCAGCCATTCTGCAACCAGCCCATGCTGCAGCTGTGTGCTTACTCAAAGTGAGATCCGAGCTGCACCGATGGAGCTGAAAGTCACGGGTTTGGCCGGGGATGTGATCTGTGTTGTGAACATCTCGGACCGGAGCCTGGAGCGTGTCTCTGACCTCAAGGAACCGGAAGCCAGTCCGGTCTGCAAGTTGTCAACGGGGTACATCCTGGGCCCAGTTTTCTTCCCCCACATTGAAAACAGCCGGTGAAGTTGATGATCTATTGACATCTATTGACATTTTGAATCATTTTCACACTTTTTTCCAGATGATATTGAACATTTTCACATGTTGGCATTTTCAGGTGTTTATTGGCATTTTCACATGTTTTCTCCATGTGTTTAACCCTTGAACTTCGATAGGAGGAGATCTGCCGAGTCTCCAAGATCTCTCCGAAGCTGCAGAAGCTGCTGCTGGGGGATGCCATTCTCCAGAACTGCGACCGTCTCCAAGAGGTCCTGAAATCCTCCGAGGCGCCGAGGTTTTCGCGGGAGGTTTTTTCGGATGTTTTTTGGGGATGTTTTTTTTGGGGATGTTAAATCCATTATGGGACAATACTATAGAATATGATAGTAGAATCCAATATGGGTATGGATCAATACCTATAAAAATAGCATTTGTTAGGGGAATGAACATCCATGTTAACCAAGCTATTTTGATGTGAACAGAAGGGGGTACTATTGGTTTTGACACACTGCCATGTTGGGGGGATGTTGGATGGTGAAAATGGTGAAAATCAACCAGAAAAGTCTGCCCCCAAAAAATTGGCATCATTACCATCATCTGATCTTTGGGTTTATGTTTGAGAGCTTCTGAAAAAAGACTTAAAACCACCCAAAGATGATGATCTTTCATGGATTTTCCATGGATTGCCCATGGATTCTCAATGGACCATGGCCGATTTTCCACACTTTCCCAGCGCCCGACCAGTGGGGCGCCGAGGCCGAGATCCAGCTGATCCGCTTCGACAAATGGTCCGAGGAGGTCACAAGAGACTGGAAGCGCCTGCGCAAGGCCTCCCAGGCCGTGCGCAACGACCGGGACTTGGTGATGGCTTGCATGGATGCCAGTGAAGGGGAAGCCATCAAATTTGCCGGGGAGGACTGGGGGATGGGGATGGGATATGTGTATATATATATATACATATGTTATATGTATATATATATATAATATGTATATTTCTGTTCGGTTTGGAACTAAGAGGATATTCGATGTCGATATATATATATATGGTACTGTATGTCAGACAGAATATTCAGTGATGGATTTGTCTTTAAAAATGGGTCGGATGGCTCAAATATTTTGGACATTTTTTGCTGGGAAGATGGACGATACCGGGACACGGCATGGGATTCACCCACAGGATTGATCCTCTCAGCAAAGGTGTACCTTGTACCCCCTGACAAGCAAATATGGCAATGGACAATTCCCAATGATTTTCCCAGCTTTTTCAACCTCCCAACTTATAGATCTTTTTGGAGGATTTCCCATGGATTTATAGATATTTCTAGATTTTTTTGGAGGATTTCCCCATGGATTTTCCTAAGATGTTCCCATTCAAACCATCATGGGAAATCCTATTATAATCATGGTTTTCCTATGATTTTCCCATGATTTTCCTATGATTTTCCCATGGTTTTCCTATGATTTTCCTATGATTTTCCCATGATTTTCCTATATTTTCCCATTCAAACCATCCCAGTCTCCCATTCAAATCGGTGATCTCGCCGCAGGACGTTCGGGCGGATCGCGAGATCATGCTGGCGGCCATGAAATTTAACCGCTCGCTGTGTCGCTATGCGAGCCTTGGGATCCGCAGGATCCGCGGGAGGTTTCACCATTGGGCATGGGAAAAACATGGGAAAAACATGGGAAAAACATGGGAAAAACATAGGAAAATGGGATTTTTGTGGAAAATGATAGGAGAAATCATAGGAAATCTCAATGCTGGTTTGATCAGTTGTGATTTGGTGTAGGGTTTTGCTGTCCTCCAAGTGCTTTGAAGTGAATCTGCGCTAGGTTCGTGCCCTTCACCATGGTCAATGCTGTAGCCATCGTGCATGGTGAGCTGTTCTCATCCCATTCCATGCAACGCTCCAAATAAGGAACATGAAGATGAATAGATCCAATACTAAATCAAGGTTTTATTTGGGTCATCTAAAAATTGGAGGGATGGGATTATACTTAACTTCCCAGCTCCAACTGATGGCGGCAACTGAGGCGAGGAGACTTGCACACGGACCGCACCTTCCTGTTGGCTGCGCTGGACAACACGGGTTTCTTCCCGCGCTTCTCTGGTTGGCTACGATGGCAAGCGTCGCCAGAGCTATGTGCAGATTACGACTTCTTGCTCAAGATGTTGGCCAAGGCCGGGGCTGCACTTCTTCCATGGTCAGATTTCAAGCTTCGATTTCGGGAAACCTCCAAAATCCAACGGTTTTTAGAATCTCATTTTCCCCTATGAAAAGTGCAATTTTTGGTGTACGTATTTGATATTTTCACACCAGCCGGCCGATGAAACCCCATCATTTTTGTAAAAATAGAAGAAACCAAAGCCTATGAAATCCCATTTAATCCTACATATATATATATATATACACCCGAAGTCCCCATGAATTTCTCCCCCATGCCAAGCTGCTCCAGGACGGTGCTTCATTTCGAGTGGTGCAGGAGGATCTGAGGCGGGGAATGGATCCACCTGGATCCAAATTTTTGCTGCTTCCATCTTCGAATCCTTTCTTTGTTTGTTGTACAGGATGGGGCCCCCCAGTTATGTTTGTTGGTTTATAAACCATGAAATAATCCCCATTAACATCCATTAACTATAGTTATATCTACCATAAACCATTGTTAAGCCACTTATAAACCAACTTAGCTATCTTGGGGGCCTCACATTGTATGGATGATATGGATGAGGTTTGGAGAGTCCTCTGAGCCTCTAGACACGGATCAATGTAAGTCCATGGAATCCCAAAAGAATCTGCAAAAATCCATGGAATTTCCAGAGAAACTCGCAGAAAACGATCAAAAACACATTCACATCATCAAAATTAAAAAATCCCATCAACTTTCCTATAGTATAGAAAATCTCTCATATTTGTCCCAGGTCCAATCCCACCCTGGCGACTGTGGCCATCCAGAATTCTCCTGCAGCCTTTCGCTTCGCTGGGGACGCGCTTAGAGGGAATCCCACTGTGGCGGGGTTGGCAGCGAAACTGGACCCGTTGAATCTGGAGTTTGTGGCCGAGAACTTGAAGGTGCCATGGGGGAAAAAATGGGGGTTGGTGGGGAATGGCACGGGGGTCGCATTTGCCCCTAAACCAGTTGGGGTCGCATTTGCCCCTAAACCAAGTGGGTCGAAGTTGTTTTAGGGGCGAATGTGACCCTGGTTTAGGGGCGAATGTGACCTCTCATTTTGTGTGGGAGGCGCAATAGTTTCAGAGCCTCGAGAGTCATTTTCACGTGTTTTTCTACGTTCCAACAGCCATTTCAAGCAACGGCAAGGAATTTCTTCACCTTCGAGTCATCTTCGCGTGTTTTTCTACGTTCCAACAGCCATTTCAAGCCACTTCAAGGATTTTCTTCACCCTCGAGAGTCATTTTCACGTGTTTTTCTACGTTGCAATTTTCTTCACCCTCTTCAAGCAACGGCAAGGAATTTCTTCACCTTCGAGAGTCATCTTCACGTGCTTTTCGACGTTCCAACAGCCATTTCAAGCAACTTCAAGGATTTTCTTCAGCCACCTTCAATGCACCATATGCCCCCAAGTCCCCCCTAAAGGTTCCCCAGTCCCCCCTAAATGCTCCCTTGCCCCCAGGTTTTACCCTAAAAGGTTGAGTAACATATTGAATAGAGAGACAATGCACCATATGCCCCCAAGTCCCCCCTAAAGGTTCCCCAGTCCCCCCTAAATGCCCCCTTGTCCCCAGGTTTTACCCAAAAAGGTTGAGTAACATATTGAGAATATTGTGGTTTAGGGGCGAATGTGACCCCTTTTGGTTTAGGGGCGAATGTGACCCTCTTTTAGGGGCGAATGTGACCCCCGTCCCTGGGGAATGGGTGGCTTTTTTTTTTGGGAAAATTGGGATGAACGGAAACAAAAGTCTGAACATTTTCCAGAAGCATTGGGGTTTATGATCTTCCAAGCCTGGCGAATTCTATGGATTCCATCTTCAGTTTCGTGAAGTGGAACAGCTGCGGTGAAAATGGATATGGCTACATCTCCAAGATCAACCATGGGCTTTATCAACCTCTGCATCATTTTCCCAACAAAAAATGGCCATAACTTGGGGGTTGAACAACCCCATTTTCATGTGCTGTCACAGGCGGACAGAGCCTTTGTGCTTGAAGCATTGGAGGCAGAACCCGCCAGACGCGAGCCTTAGCTGTCTGCTCTCTGGTGAACCAACCATTTTTGATCGGAAAATCATCTGTAAATGGGCAATTTTCGACAACTAAATTGCCGGAGTGTATCTTATTAATACGGAGATTATATATTTATGTATGGATTATGCTTATCTATTTGATTTATTTGATATGTTGTGTGGAGTTTATCTAGTTTATCTGTTCAATACATTCAATCTATTCTATCTACTTTATTATCTAGTTCACCTATTTTACGTATGTATATATTCTACTTTATCGATTTATTCCACTTTACTGTATCCATGGTATCCATTTTATTCAGTTATATATCTACTTTTCCTGATTCTCCTATAAATCTTATCCGCTTTATTTTGATTCTTATCTATTTTGCCAATTTGCCTTTTTAGTCTATTCATCATTTGTCTATTTTGATATATTTGATCTATTTCAATATTTTTGAATATCTATTTTACTATCTTTTTGCATTGTTTTGTATGCATTTATCTATCTAATCTATCTTCTCTTCATCTCTTTCTTTCTATCTTTCTTTCTACAATGTAAATATGCGCATGTAAATATGTACTTATGCACACACACACATGTATAATATAATAGTAAAGATTGCCCTGGAGTCGGTTTGGAGGTGAGAACTTTGGGTGGCTATTCCAATTCCATCTTGAAACACTTGCCCTTACCGCTGCGATCCGACTTGGAAGTGGTGTCCAAGGCCGGGCTTTGCGAGGGATGGGCATTTTCTGAGAAGTCCATTGGGCCAATTTTATCCAATTTTCTGGGATAACTCCAGTTTGTTAAGCCAGAATGCCTGATTTTGGGTCGGATTTTCTTGGATGAGAGAGGCAACCCGCAAGAGACCCAGTCGTGACAACAGTTGCAATTCCACTTGAAAGGCTCCTACTGGCCGAGACGTGCCCGATATTGGCACAATCTGCCCCGTTTTCTTATCCTCTCCCCGAAATTTTCATGACAACTCCATACTTTTTCTGTTAAAAGTTCCCTGCAGGTTTCATGGTTTTTCCTGCAGATTCTCCTGCAAAGCACAGCTTTCTGCAGGCTTTGGCTTACATCTCTCCATACTTCCTCTCCAAGGAGTTGGAATACGTCAGCAGCGAGCTCAGGAACCACCCCGAGATTCGGAAGTTGCATCCCTACGGGCCCTACGGGCACCGTGGCGCGGAACCGGTGCGCTGTCGTCCTGCGACGAGCAAAAGAACGGCCAAAAAGGAGGAGGACGACATGTCACAGCTGCACTTGAGCCAAGAAGCGCGCAATTATTTGATGCATGCGGATTATGAGACTTGGCATATCTGGGCATTTCTGAGATGATCATATAATTATGACATATCATGACAATGAAGTACCACTTGTGGTTTGTGGTTCACTGATTTTGAGTGAAACGACCTCAGTGGGCCCTGGACAAGGCCACCCAGCAGCTGCCCTCCTTCTGGTCGGAGTTGGTGAAGATCGATCCCATGGCCTTGCGATGTTTGAGTGAAGATGCTCGGCAGAACCGGCAGCTGGTCATGACTGCGGTGAAGAAATGTGGCTTGGCCCTGCAATATGCCAGTGCTGAGTTGAAAGAAGATCGAGAAGTGGTGAAGGTGGCATTGAAGGAGAGCAGCTGGGCGTATGATTACATCCCTGAATCCCTGCGATTGGACCGGGAGATTGCTGTTCTGGCGTTTCGTTTGCACCGGATGAAACTGCCCAAGCAACTCTTGAACGACAAGGATGCAGTGGTAGCGGCAGCAGAAATTGCCGCCCGAAGAGCCGAAAATCCTGGAGAGTTGAGTAAACTGAGTAAGAAAAAATTGAACAGAATGTCGATCGCCAATCTCATTGCTGAATATGAGTTGGCTTGAGCCGGACAACATGTACAGTGTACAGCCTGGCCAAAAGATGCTACAAGATGGTTGCAGTTGAGGGGGACCAAGCTGGGGATACTGCAACTTTGACCAAGCTGGCCACGACAGGAAGGGGCCCCCGATCACCTTATCATGCTGTGTGCGGTAGACCTAAGAATTGTATTCCGACTGTCAGCTGCCACTCAAGAGAGGCACACTTGTCAGATAGCTGAGAGCGGCCATGTCACTAACCTCTGAGATTAGACTTTACCCTCTGGTAAACTAACATAGCCGTAGAAAATCACCATCCTTAATAGGTAAATCAACCATAAAGGTGCCATTTTCAATAACTATGTAACAAATTACCAGAGGGTAACCGAGTTTCAGCCACTGCAAACTGTTGGCTGCTTGATAACCACATTGTAACCTTCCGATCCAATTTTGGGGACCCCAAAATTCTTTATTTTTTCGCTGGGTTAAAGGTTTATCTGGAAAACCCATGCTGTCCCCATGAAATCATCTATAAATGCTGGATCTTCCATATATATATATACATACCCTTTGGTCATTTTACAGAGAGCTATGGCAAATCACCATTTCCAAGAGTTCAATCATCATGAAACATAGGCAAACTGTAACAAAGTAGGGCACATCTGTTGATTAATAAGCATAGTAAAAATCGAAAGTGATAACAGTATATCATCGGAGTAGTAGCAATAAATAACAATCACTTTTTTTTTGACAGCATCCATATATGTATATATATATAATGCTATATACACATTACATACATACAAATATATATATGTGTTCTCCTTTAGGGGATTTATGCATGATAAGCCTGCTGCGCAGTTTCGGCTCACAGTGGTCGGAGCAGGGGGTGAGCTCCTTCAGAGGAGTCACCCCCAAGAAGATGGAGGGTTTACTCAGTTTTGCCCGAAGAGAAGGGCTGACTGAGGAAGAAGCCCAGAAAGTCCTGAGGTTGAACCGTCCAGTAACAGATGCTGGATGGGTTGAAGCAGAAGACTTGGGAGAAGAAGCCCTGTTGATTGCAAAGGAAACTATGGAGGCGGGCAGGTACCTTGAGTACGCCTGCTATGAATCAACAGGGGCACCCCAAGGGCGAGCAGTGTTGAAGCTGCAGAGCTGGGAAGAAGAGGGCGTTCTGACAGGCTCCCATGGGGAGTGTTCAGACCCCTACTATCAGTGGTATGCTGACCACGACATCCGAGACCGTGGGGCCGTGTACCACGTGTGCACGGGCAAGCATTCCACTTGCCGGTTCAAGCTGCCGAGCGGAGACAGGAGGATTGTGATTCACCTGGACCGATGGCGGTTGCTGAGCCCGGCAATCATGATACGGTCAGACTATATGAAAGAAAAAGGTGAGACATGGGGCAGAGTAGTCCTCAAGGAAGCGGCAGCGGCAAAGGCGCCAGGCGGGCCACCCCATAGGCCCCCAGGGGATTCGGGGATTGAGGCCGCTCTGGCTGAGGCTGCTGAAGGTGGTGGTTTTCCCCCGCCTGCCCCCGAGAGACGGGGGCCGAGGGAAGGTGAGGCAAGAGACAAGAGCCCCAAGGAAGAGCGCAAGAAAAGACGAGTTGAGGAGCACATAAAAGATCAGATGGCCAGGCAAGAGAAAAGGCGCAGGTCGAAATCTCCCAGCCGAAAAAGGAGAAACAAAGACAAGTCGAAGAAGGAAAGAGGCAAGGGGCGCCGGGGAGATTCTTCCGAGGATTCTTCGGGTGCCAAGTCCTCATCGGGCAGTTCGCATTTTCAAGCAGCCCCAGCCCGGGGGGGCGAGCTTTGGCGACAAGCCCAAAAGAAACCCGGGCGGTTGGCACAGAAGTCCCTAGACGAGATGTGCCGATATCTCGCCGACCGTCACGAGACCGCCGAATGAGAGCTGGCATGGGCCGGTCAGAAGGTAGTGGCCTACCTGAATCAGGTGGTGCTGGTGAACCACCCTCCAGCTCGCATGGGGGTCAGATCCCACCGAGAGATGGTGACCCTGGCGATGACCATAGACGAGCTGCTGGGAGGGAGGATCATGCATGCCTTGGACCTGTTGCTGCAGAGGTTCAAAGCGATAGAGGCCTCCTTCGAAGAGGGAGGTTGGCAGACAGCACGGCACCTGGAGCTCATTCCAGGAGGCGGAGCCGGTCTCTTGAGAGAAGACGAGAGGGCTGCCGCAGCGAAGGCCGAGATCCAGGCATCAAAGCTGAGGGAGGGCCTGGCCAAGTTGAAAAAGAGCAAATAGGAAGCAGGCAGCGGGCAGGCTCCCCAAGGGGAGAAGTCCGTGAGCCATCAAGAGCGAAAAGAGAGCCCCTTGAGAGGCCGTCAGGCCGCTTGGACGAAGACGAGGGCAGATCAAGGTCAGCACGTGACCTTCGAAGAGAAGAGAGCCCAGCACGAGAAAGGAGAAGGAGAAGGTCAAAAAGGGATCGCTCCCGTCGTGATCGTCGACGACGGGCCGGACAAGAGTCACAACCAAGATCAGCCCCTCCAGAAAGGGTCAAAAGGGAAGATGAAAGGAGGAGGAAAGGGCAAGAGAAGCCGGCTAGCCTGGAAGGCGAGCAAGTTCGGCAGACCAAAAGGGAGCCATCAGAAAGGAGTCGGCAAAGCATCAAAAGGGAGCAAAGCAGGTCCTCCAGGGGACGAATCTCAGCCACCCCAACGCGTGGTGATGTCGACTTGAGGCCCCCAGCAAGTAGATTCCTTCGGGAGTTTCTTCATGCGGAGGAGACCGGGAACCTGTCGGCGGCTCAACTGATCCGTCACCTGGTCCTCCAACTGATGGAGACTGACTCGCCGCTCAAAGAATACATGCTCTGGTCTCTACAGTCCCCTACGCGGAGAGAGGGCAGGATGCTGAATCTGTTCCCCCTCCCGCTTTGGTTTGATGGCCGGGAAGCCCTAAATGAGATTTTGGATGAAGCTCAAGTACGTGACCAGCCAGGAGGTTGGCGGAACAGAGGCCGCACCAAGTCGAAGGCAGCCAAGGCCCTGAGGGGTAATGGCTTAAGAGCTTGGCATGGCCTGGTTGTGGTGGCCTTGAATCATCTATATGGGGATGAGCCAAGAGGTGAAAGGCCATGCCCTGGGGGGCAAGCGACGGCAGCCCAGGAGCAGGCTCTGAATACCCTTTGGGAGCTTGTGAAGTCCTTCGTGGACGAACGAGAGTGGGCCGGGGTCCCTAGAACTTCTCAGGAAGATTGGGGGAACGCCTTGGACGCGTTGAAGGTCAGCTACACTGGTGAGGTGTTGGAAAAGGCAGTGCCGCTCACCCTGGCCCAGATACTCCCGGGGCTTCCGAGTGTGGAACATGGGGGGTCAGTGGACATCATGGAGGTGTTGCCCCCCCCACTTGCAGGAGGCGCTGAAGCACCCCGAAAAGATGATGGTGGAGCCACCTCAAGGCCCGAGACCTAGACCAAAGGTTAGGGTAGCCGATGGGGAGTGGCCCAAGATAGCGCGGGCCATGTTTGACCGAGGGCTGGTGCGACCTGTAAATCACTGCCCTGTGCTGGATGGTGAAAAGGTGGTGAACGGCGCTTTTGGTGTGGCCAAACCTGACAAAGTAACCGCTGAAGGTGATTCAGTGCTGCGGCTTATAATGGACCTCAGAGCCACCAACTATTGCATGAAGCAAATAGAGGGCGATGTCGGGCACCTCTGTGGGGCGACCTCATTTCAGAGAATCGTCATTGAAAGTGGCGAGGAGCTCCTGGTGAGTGGTGAAGACCTGACTGCTGCGTTCTATCTGTTTAGACTCCCGGAGGAGTGGAGCAAGTATATGGTACTGGAAAAGCCGGTGGCTAGGTCCGATCTGGGACTGGCAGGTGAAGGCGAGACCCTGCTGGGAATTGCGGTCCTGCCCATGGGTTGGCATTCGGCCGTCGGCCTGATGCAGGCCTGTCATAGGACCATTGCCCTGAGGAGTGCCTCCCTGGGTGGAGCCGGCCTGAGGCCTCTGGCGGAAATTTCCAAGACCGCAGTCTTCCCTGATCTGGATGAAGCCGCGGGGTGGAGCATCTACCTGGATGACACCACGGTCCTCGAGAAGGTCCAAGCGGTGGTAGCGGAAGAATTGGGTGGCACCCCGGCAGAGGAACAGAAGCAACTCCGCGAGGCCTACGCGTGGTGGGGTATCCCGACCAACGAGGCTAAGAGCCTGGAGCGCGTGAGGCAGGCTGAGAGGCTTGGTGCACTGATGGATGGCCAGCAAGGGGTCTTGAGGACAAAGACCAAGCGTAGCCTAGACCTTTTTGGGTTGGGCTCATGGATCCGGGGTTCTGTCCGTGTCCCACGGAACACAATAGCCTTTTTTAGTTGCCGGCCATCCCGGCCATCCCGGCCACGGCCACGGCCCGGCCACGGCCACGGCCACCCGGCCACGGCCACCCGGCCACCCGGCCACGGCCACCCGGCCACGGCCACCACGGCCACCACGGCCACCACGGCCACCCGGCCACGGCCACCACGGCCACCCGGCCACGGCCACCCGGCCATCCGGCCACGGCCACCCGGCCATCCGGCCACCCGGCCACCTGTTTCCTGCGTTTGTTATGGAAACAATTGATGCGAACTTCTTAACTTTTCGAACCACTTGCGACACGCTCCTGCATGGTGCCTGGTGCTATGCTCTTTCCTTTCCCAGGTAGCTTTGCAACGCACTCTTGATGCTACGTTCTGAACCTGTTCCAGCAACTTGCAACGTACTCTTCCTGCTACTCTTTGAGCTTCTCAGGCGACTGGCAACACACTCTTGATCCCACACTTTCAACTTTCTCCAGCAACTTACAACACGCTCTTGGTGCTAACCTTTTCGGGCCCTCAACTTTCTGAAACAATTCAAAAGAGGTTCCTTGGCGCTATGTTCCGAATTTTCTCAAGCAACTTGCAGGCTCTTGGTGCTACGCGCTTAACTATTTCAAGCAGCATGTCACACGCTCTTGATGCTACGCCCTCGATGTTCTCAAGCAACCACGCAACACGCTCTTGATGCTACTTCTCTCATGCGCTCAACCTTATGGTTGTGGTGGATTTTGACATGGAACATGCATAACCAGGTGTTTCTGTTCTAACTCATGTTTGCAAGGAATTAACGTTCGTTTTTGCTGCCAATAGCAATTGTGCCAAAAAACCGCAAGAGACTGCAGCTACGAAATATTCACTTTCAGCTGAACGTCCCATGTTTCCACGGTAATGCTAATGGTGGTGGTGGTGATGGTGATAGTGGTTGTGGTCGGGATGCTGATGATGTCGATGAGAGATATAACTATTCAGATGTTTCATTGGCTCTGCAGGGCACACCGTGCCAAATTTCTTTTTGGATTTTTAGGGCCCAAGTGTTTGAGCATCCAACAGTCACAAGCAGGTGTCAACTACCGTGACTATCTGCCCTTTCTAAAATTCTATTGATGATATTTACACGTTTTCTGTGATCAGTGATGTCTCATCTTGTGCATTTACGTTTATATAATCGTTGCAAACACCCGTTGCCTGCCATTGGTGGCTGCGCTGGGGTGCCGTCATTGGTCTGTGCCTGGAAGAAGGCGGGACCGTTTCTGCAGAACTGCGAAGCGCCATGATGTCATGATCCGTTGCGCCCTTGGGACCGAAACATGTATTTGGACATGTTTTTTCCTTTCCTTTTGGCGACAGAGTCAATCGATTTCTTTCTGCTATGTGTTTCCTACGTCCCCGCTCCTCACTGCCTTTTGTCTCTTGGCGGCTGCTGCCGTACCACATGAAACCGACTTGCGCGCCTGCGGATACAGGATATCGAAAGTTTGGCACCGCTGCTGTGCTGTCGTTGCTTTGCGACACAGGCCAGACCATGTGTGGCTTGTGCAGTCAGTGAAATGCTTTGGACATGCCGCATCATGACATAATCTGAGAGGAGCTGTAGTTGGAGCCCGGCCCATAGAAGGCAGCGGTGTTTTAAGCATGTTTTGGCCCTTTTTTTTTGGATGGTCTTTCATGTCAACTAGCACACAGACGTCATGCTATGTTATGGTTATCTTGGGGTGGGGTTGGGTGGGGTGGGGTGGGGCAAAAACGTTCATGTCAACTTGCAAACACACGTCATGCTACGTTATGGTTATCTTCTCTTGCACTTGCACACACACGTCATGCTACGTTACGGTGATCTTCTCTTGCACTTGCACACACACGTCATGCTACGCTATGGTTAGCTTGGGGTTGTGTAGTAGATTTGTTTTTTAATCGGATACAACCCCTGATAAGATGACTTTACAGGGACTCGGGAATGGTGAGACCCGGGAAGACATTCATATATATTCTTTCGCAGATACGTAGTCGTGTCGGGTTTCATTGTTATGTTATAGTCATGCTACGCTATGGTCATCTTGGAGTGGTGTCTTAGATATATTTTGTAATGGGATACAACCCCTGATAAGATGTCTTTACAGGGACCCGGGAATGGTGAGACCCCGGGAAGACATTAATAGTTTAGACTGGGATACAACCCCTGATAAAATGTCTTTACAGGGACTCGGGAATGGTGAGACCCCGGGAAGACATTAATATATTTTTTTCGGGGATACGCACTGGGGTTCGGACTCCATAGTTATGTTATAGTTAGTTTATGTTTTGACATGTGTTTGCATTTGCGCTTTCAATTTTCCAAAGGAAAACACGAACTTATGTCAAAAAACGAAGTAGTTTTGGAGATTTTCAAAACCCTATTTTTCACGTCAACATGATAAAAATTGACGTTTCGCTGTAGCGAAAACGCAATTTTTGTTGCACTTGCACACACACGTCATGCTACGTTACGGTGATCTTCTCTTGCACTTGCACACACACGTCATGCTACGCTATGGTTAGCTTGGGGTTGTGTAGTAGATTTGTTTTTTAATCGGATACAACCCCTGATAAGATGACTTTACAGGGACTCGGGAATGGTGAGACCCCGGGAAGACACTAATATATATATTCTTTCGCAGATACGTAGTCGTGTCGGGTTTCATTGTTATGTTATAGTCATGCTACGCTATGGTCATCTTGGAGTGGTGTCTTAGATATATTTTGTAATGGGATACAACCCCTGATAAGATGTCTTTACAGGGACCCGGGAATGGTGAGACCCCGGGAAGACATTAATAGTTTAGACTGGGATACAACCCCTGATAAAATGTCTTTACAGGGACTCGGGAATGGTGAGACCCCGGGAAGACATTAATATATGTTTTTCAGGAATACGCACTGGGGTTCGGACTCCATAGTTATGTTATAGTTAGTTTATGTTTTGACATGTGTTTGCATTTGCGCTTTCAATTTTCCACAGGAAAACACGAACTTATGTCAAAAAACGAAGTAGCTTTGGAGATTTTCAAAACCCTATTTTTCACGTCAACATGATAAAAATTTACGTTTCGCTGTAGCGAACACGCAATTTTTGTTGCTGAAGCACTCCTAAAACCATACGGCCCTCTGTGGGTCGGGAACCCTGTAGTTGGGAGGACCCACTGCAGTCCTGGCAGGTCGGTGGGGCTATAGGTGGCCCCGCCGGCCGTGGCTAGGGGTATCCAACACTTTCTCGAATCTGTTTTTACTACATGCTCTTCATTCCGTCCTTTTTCTCTGCAGCCCATTCGAATCACATTAAACCGCTGCTGCAGGAAAGCTTCCTCGGGATTCTTGGCTGCATACAGGCCAGATGTTTTCCGGAATGTATCCGTCCAACAAACAAGTCTTAACTTGCGAAACCAATGCACTTCTTCATTCCAATTCGGCGCGGGTGAACTTTCCTCGGTTAACTTGCTTCTGTCGCATCATTCCCCACCTGCCAGGTAAGTGTCTCTAGCTTTTTAAGCCTCGAAGCCTGTACAGAGGCACGCGCTGAATTTCAAATTGATAATATTGATAGCGAGCTCCAAATCACTATATGGGCATACACGGACCCCGACATGTGCCAGAAGGAATGTGAGAAAGAATGCCAGATGGAATGTTTATATATATATATAGCAGATAAAATGTCAGAGAAAATGTCCGAAGACATGTGAGATGAAATGCCAGATGATGCCACATGCAGATGTGTAAAAAAATAAATTGTCACATGGAAGTCCCAGAAAGAATGCCAGATAAAACTTCTGCAGATAAAATGTCAGATAGATTGCAAAAATGCAGGCCAGATGGGATGCCAGAATATATGCCAGAGAGAATGCCAGACAGATAGAATATCAACATATATGGCAGAGTCCAGATAAAATGCAAGAGTATATGTCAGATAGCAATAATGCCAGAGAGGATGTGAGATAAAATGGCAAAACCTTTTCCAGATAGAATGCCAGGCTCACTATCAGACATAATGTCCGAATATTAGGTTGAATGCTGGATGAAACTTCAGGTAGAATGCCAAAGAGAATGTCAAAATTTATGTCAGATAGAATGCCACTTGGTTGGGGTCACTCGAAGAACGCATTTTTTTGGGACATTTGCCTTGTTGAACAAAACCTCTAGTCCGTGATTCTCTTTTGCGAGTTCAATTTCAGGTTTGGAAAGATGTCGAACAAGCTTGCAGATGAGATTTCTTCTGCAGAGCTGGACGCGCTCATGAAGAACGCCATTTCAGTAGTGGAATCCAATTTTGATGAGAGCCACCTACCCGCAGCCATACGCGACTTCGTTCAACCGATTTCCACTGCAACATGTCAGGGAACATACGTCACGACTATGATGCTCTGTGGGGCAATGCCGTGCTTAACAAACGGAGCTGCAATTCGTCTGTGGACGCAGAAAGCCTCACCGTTGGCCCTTTTGGTGTTTCACATAGCACCACCCCAACGGGGCAAATCTAGATTGTTCCAAACATGTGAGGTGTTGATGGAAGTCTGCGACGACATTGTTGAGCAGATGGCACATGAGCATGCGCGTGCGCTTCAGCCAGAGGGTGCAGATGAATTGCCGGTGCAAGTCAAATCGATGGCTATTCAGTCATGCACAGCCACCGAAATGTTCTTTCGGTGCAGCTGTGACTATCCGCAGGTGCAGGCCGGGCATGGCCTCAATCAGAAGGGCGTTGCGATTTCATGTTCATGCTGCATGTCGCGCTACCATTTGTAATTTCATTTCTTCCAGCATGTCGGCGTCACCGTTGTGTGGCACCAGAGCATCAGTGATGAACCCAAACAGAACGGAGACTTTCTAGACATTGATTCGATTCGCACGAATGATTTTTTTCGCCACTTTGAGTATGGAAGGTCTGCTTATCGCTTCTACACTTACATCCAGAGTGCTTGCAGTACGTGTTCTTTTTGCTTCGGTTTGCCACAAGCCTTGCCGAGGTAGGCGCTTCAAAGCGCGACGTACAGACCACTAGATTGTGGTGGGGCCAATGCATAAATTGCGACGAAGCGTACGAATTTTGGGATCTTTTTGGATTAACCGGCGACAAGACTTCTGGTGTGAATCCCCACGCCTCCATGCTGAACACATTGATCAACCAGGGTCGGACTAAGCGCGCCACACGCACATCCACCAACTACGGCGAAGGTGTTCGAGCAAAGCCAATTTCTCTAAGTGTCTTGGGAAATGGGCATCCCAAGAGGGTGGTGGCTATGGAACGTGGGCTCATCGGAAATCACACAGTGGCGTGCAAAGAGAGGTTCTTGCTGGTCACAGACCACTCTGTTGCACGCCATGACAAATTGCCTCCTCACATTACGTCCAGCAGCGGAAGTCGGTACACTTGGCTTCCGCTCACTCCCTTGCAGGCCAAGGTGTTTCAGTGGCAAGACTTGCTGAACAACCCGGCATACTTCAAGCAAGCCGGTAGCCTCCAGGTGACCGAGGATGATGATGTGGAAGACATTGACCAGCCGGGTCTTGAAACAGAGGGCCCGCCACATGGTTTTCCGGTGGTTTTGCCAGATGGGGTGCCATCCCGTGTGCGCTATGTGCGTCAACCAGGCCCCAATAACTTTGGATGGACCAATCTTTTTATTTCCTTCAAGTCAAACCTTTCACAGAAGATTCTTTTATCAATTACACCAGATACCTGCAACCATGCCCTCCCTTAGAAACTTTGCTTTCAGTTTCGAGTGGAGCGATCTTGCAGGACAGGCTCTGGTCACAGAATTTCGTATCTCCAGCAGATGGACTCTGGCAGATCCTACTGATCACATCAAGGAAGGCGCGAAGCGTGTTTGTCAGCATTCGCAGCCGTCCACATTCCGTCTTGGAAATGGAATCTGAGGGGCGCAGGCTGCTCTTGGGCACCTGGTCACTAGAAGTTTTTACTTTTGCATCGCCAATTTTTTTTGGCGCCTGCCACGGCGAAATTTCATTGTGTCTTGTCGGCTACATGCTTGTGCCGCGCCGCCTCCAGGCAATCAAGTGGCGCAATCTGTGAGGGCCCAGCAAGCTGCGACAGGTGAAGATGAAGCGATGCACGCAAATGCCGCCGGACTCCAGGGGCAACTTGCTGCAGCCATTTCCGTCCTCGACCTGGCTGGGGGCGGTGGACACTTCGATGCCAACGGAGCCTTGATTATCAAAGCCGAGCATGTGCAGGTGAGATGCTCTTATGTGCTTCTGCTGTCTGCTGCTCTCAATACTTTGAAGAAAAACTGACGTGTGTAACCGTGTCACCTATTTGGTTCATAACGAGGTCCATGGTGGAAGCCTTCTGCACCCAAACCTTTCGGATCCACCCTGATTCGATCGCAGCCCTCTGCAGGTTGCCTGCCGGCTGGTTGAGATTGCCTTGCAGATTCGACATATTTTTCGCCTCCCCCTCGATGATGACCTCTCCGATCAAGAGAATGTGGAGCGCCCTGAGATACCTGTGCACGGAAACTATGAGCGCAAGTTTGGTGAGGCGCTGGCAACCCAAGGATTGCCTGCGCTGCCACCCGAGGAAGAAGAGGCAGTTGCCGAGGCAGAGGCAGAGGAAGAAGAGTTGCTCCCTCCCGAGGCGCACGCGCGGGAACATAGTCAAAACTCAGTGCTATCCAAGTGTCATGGCTCTTGTGACAAAAAACAACTGTTGTGACTTCATTCATGTCCCCATGCGCAGAGACGCAAGCATGTAATGCATACACAGCTTGGACCAGCTTTGAAAAGTGAAGCTGAATCCAGTTTGGCCCCGTCGAATAGTGCGTAATTTGTTCTGCAGGGTTTGAGTTCAAAGATTTGACAAATCCTACCTGCCGGAAGAAGGCCGACGCGAAGCAATAGTGGAGCCAAAGCATGCTTGCATATAATCACCGGAATCTTTGGCGATAAAAACCAACAGCGATGAAATTTTCTGATGCTCCCGCGTGCCGCCGCCCATGGACTACCCCAGATACTTTTGCGCAGAAATGCAGCGTTTTTGCTGGCCGATTCCCCTATAGTTCCTCATGGCCCCTTGAATGTTTCAATATTTCTAACCATAGCGCCTCAAATCAAAACCCAAGCCCACACACACACACACCCACGCACGCACACGCACACACGCACGCACGCGCGCGCACACACACGCACGCACGCACGCGCACGCACACGCCCACGCCCACGCACACGCACACGCACACACATACACCCTAGACAAGAACTGGATCATTGAAGTGATCCGTTGGGAACTGAATCCCATAATGTGCAATTCGACAAGATATATAGTAGTAAATGACCAGAATATATATATATATATACAGATAGATAGGCTATGGTGGCCACCAGGTGCGACTTAACTGCGCCCAGGTGCACCACCAAAGCCCAACAGGTACGCGCACACGGGTCCCGGGGAGGTGTCTTCGTTGATCACCGACCCCCGCGGAATGCGCCACCATCGAAGTTTTACGTTTGTTTTCCGGCGTTTCACACACACACACACTTTTGCTCAGGGACTTCTATTGAACAGGCACTTCTATTGAATATTAAAATGGCACTGCAATGCATCATCCATACAAAACGACAGCAGAACAAAAACCCTAAAAGGAGAATGGAAGGTATATCATATATCCCATCTCTTCCTTCTAGCCAAGTTCCATTCTGGATGCATTCTTCAGATTCTCCGGTTCTACGCTTAGCCGGTCGGCATGCGGGAAATTTGGAAATCAGTGCCTTCTCAGGGAAAATGACAATGCAAAGGCAGGTACGTCGCGGTGATCAGCCATGATATCCTTTAGTCGGTTGCATGGAGCTTCGGGCTTTGTTGGCGACAGCCATACAGCGACCTTGTCGCCCCGTGCTCTCAATATTTGATGTACAGAAAAACCATGAAACGGCACAGCAGGTAGAAGTTTTACATCTCTTCAGGTGGCGCACGCGCGCGCACGCGCACGCACGCGCACGCATGCGCATACACACACACACACATGCATGCACATTGCATGTGTAGAATAAGAAGGAAAGAATGCTGAGGCAACAGGGAATTCGCGAATTCTTCAGAAATCACCTTGAGAACGCTGTGCAACTTTTTATATCTATCGTCCGATAGTCCAGTTCGGAGTCTAGGTTGGGCTTCCCATCTCGTGTCCGCCCGCAAGGAGTCTGCAGACCACCATGAGGCTAGCGAGGAGCCTTTGCCCACAATTTTGTCCTGGCGCGACATCCTTCCGGAAGAGCCTTTCTTCAAGAAAGGGCTGGCGGACAACGATGAGATGGTTTTTCCCTTCCCTCTGCAAGACCGTCAGCTTCTTCGAAAAATTCTTCTTCACGGAGGCAGCGAGTTCAAGGTTTCGAAGCTAGTGGATCTTTATCATGTGGTGCAGACTACCGGAACGGGGAAGGACAAGAAGCGCAAGAAAGTCAGACCAGCAATTGCCAAGGCAAGTCTTGTCTTCGACATCAGTGGTGGCCCAAACTAATCCTTGTTCAGACCCATTCTGTTCTTGCCCGTGTTGTTGGCGACTTGTGGGGCCATATGCCATATGCAGTCAATGGTGTTTCAGTTTCAACGATTTTGCGGCAAAGAAGGTTGAACGCATTTGGCAAGGGTGGTTCCCTGAGCAGGAATTGTTTCGGATTCTCAAAGAGTTATAGCAAAGCGCTTCAATGGCCATGGGCCTTTTTTTGAAGATAATTCTACCTCATCAAAGACTTTATGCGTGCTTTTACATTTAAGCTTGTTGTCTTTAGATTTTCAATTATGGTTTGCACATATCGAGGTGCAGTCCTTAATTCCACAGTGCGAGATAATTAGTTTAGGCATTTACTTCCCAAATCAGATTTGAGGTACGAGGTGCAAGACAAGGCAAAGATGTTGATTCGTTGCACTGACGATGCCATGCGTGAACACACAGATTTGTTTACCGGACAGGTCAAGTCTGTGTTGCAGAAGGCGGTGCAGCGCTATCCACGCATTGGCTCTTTGAATGTTTCAAGCAAGGACTGCACACTGGTCTTAAAGTCGTGGAGCAACTCGAAAAGAAACCAAATTTTGTTTCACAACGACATTTTGCAGTGTGGCCGGGTCTCTCTCAGACAAGTGTCAGAGAGACGTGGCTTGTATAATGAAGAGCAGCGGTCCACCAGTGAGCGCGGCCACAGCGCCGCTGCGCCAGCACCATCTCCATCCCAAAGTGGCCTCCCTGCGCCACCTACTCCGCCCGGTGGCAGGGCTTGAGATGGCGTAACTTGCTTTGGACATACATCGTGCACCAGTTTTGACTTTGCCAGCAGCAGCGCATGTTAAAGCAAAAGTGTTCAGCATACCCGCTTTGGCTTCTGCTGGCAGCAGGGCTTGCGATGGCGTAACTTGCTTTGGACATACATCGTGCACCAGTTTTGACTTTGCCAGCAGCAGCGCATGTTAAAGCAAAAGTTTTCAGCATACCCGCTTTGGCTTCTGCTGGCAGCAGGGCTTGAGATGGCGTAACTTGCTTTGGACATACATCGTGCACCAGTTTTGACTTTGCCAGCAGCAGCGCATGTTACAGCAAAAGTTTTCAGCATACCCGCTTTGGCTTTTGCCGGCAACAGCGCATATTGAAGCGAAGGTGTTGTGGCACAGGCGGGGCCGAAAGCATGTCAGTGGTGAGCAGTCTCCAAGGTTACTGGGCGTGCTTGTGTGAACTCGTGCGGTGGTGCGCAGAGGCATGCAACCTTTTGCTGTTATATTTACGATGTTACAGTAGGATACTCGCATCTTGTTCCGGTCTGCGTGGATTCTGATTGTATGTGCGGCCATCAGTTTTGTTCCCAAGTCTTTTCACGCACGTAGGAGAAGGGGTGGGGGTGCGGTTGGATGACTTTACGCAACCCTAGGTGAGCTAGTACTAGCATGAGAATGATATGCAAACGTACCGCTAGAATTGGGCAGCGGCGCCTCGCAGAGGCCGTGCTTTCGTGCAAGTTCTTACCCCATGAATACTTCTTGCGCACTTGTTGTTGCTTCATCCTGATATCTTTCATCCGTTTCAGGTTGGGACGGTGTAGGGGTGGAGGTTGTTTGGGGCAATTTCGTTCTTGCATTGGCACACTCACTTGATGCTACGATATGAGATCGTTCTTTTCAAGACCGGGGCAGCGTAGGGCAAGAACATTCTTGTACTTGCACACGTATACTTGAATTGCAGCCTTAAAAGAACTTCACTTGCATTTGCGCGCCTACTTGATCACGCGCCACTGGCTCTGCGTCAGCAGACCTGCGCCACAAGATTTTGCGGCTCCACGCGCAGGCTCACCCTCACGCGTGCTTGGACACTTGAGTCCAAGAGACGCAGCAGCACACCTTCGTGCAGAAATGAAGCACGATGCAGGTACATCCTGTAGCGCCACCTCCGCAGCCAGCTGCCAGCAACACCTAGCTTCTTGCTGACAAAGAAATAGACCGTTCTTGCATTTGCGCACCTGCTTGATGCCACTGGGTTCCATATGATAAACTTCTCTTGCACTTGCACGCCTACTTGATGCTACGTTGAAAGACATTCTTTTGCATTTGCGCACATACTTGCTGCCACGTAGGAATATATTGCCCTCTTGCAGTTGCCCGCCTACATGACAATAGTTAAAAGAAATTCTATTCAAACACCATCCCCTGGCTTGCAGCGTCAGCAACTACAAACTTACAGGGAAATTTCAAGGTCCCGAGAGGTTTCGTGGGTAACGCTTCTCGAAAACACGCCGTCTGACTCACAAGTTATGAAATGAAGGTATAAGACGGCCTGCACTAGGCGCCGCCGTCTACAACAGTTTTCTGGCTACAATGACAGGACACATTCGGAAAAGACAGGTACCAAAGCGTTGCCCAGTGAAGACAATGATGTTACTGCTAGCACGGTCAAACAGCTCTAGCCACACATGCTTGCTTGCATGCGCAACGAAAGCAATGGAAATGGTTCACACCCACTTGGCTCTGGCTGCTGCTCATGGCTGTTCCATAATCGGTTGCCGCAGCTACGCGGGCTTTTTCGACATGGCGCATTTATAAGGCAAAAACCGCTTTGAGAGACATGCATTGTAACACGTCGTTTCCTTCAGGTGCCAGCTCACACTCTTCCATTGACATCCACAGCACTCCCCAGGCTATAGTCAGACAGGCGCCAACAGAAGGAACTCTCCAAAAGTAAAGAATACAGGTCTTTTTTCAATCTCTGTAAAGCCTTGCAATTCAGGTGAATGGCCATGGAAGTGCTTTGTTCCTCCAGGTGCTGTTGCCCCGTCTGTGAGTCTCCTTTGCAACAGCGCCGGCCGCGTCAGCGGGGCGCCGTGCAATGTCAGTTGATTGCTGAGCCTGAAACCCTCCATGCTTGGCATGTGAGCAAAATTTGCTCCAGATGTCCATTGCTAAAAAATTTTTGGTGCGGGTTTCAGGAGGTCTTGATCAACGGCAAATGGGTCAAGCAGGTTGATAACCCTCATCCGCTCTATTTCTTTGTCAGCAAGAAGCTAGGTGTTGCTGGCAGCTGGCTGCGGAGGTGGCGCTACAGGATGTACCTGCATCGTGCTTCCTTTCTGCACGAAGGCGTGCTGCTGCGTCTCTTGGACCCAACTGTCCAAGCACGCGTGCGGGTGCAGCTAGCCCGCGCCTGGGGCCGCGAAATCTTGTGGCGCAGGTCTGCTGACGCAGAGCCAGTGGTGCGTGAGCGCCTTGCTTCGCAACTCTTGGCTTTACCTTTGGAGAAGCTGTTGGAAGTCAATTGGTGTTGGTATGAGCCAATGATGTTTCAAAGGTTGGGACCAAGGCAAAATTCTTCTTTTGCCTTTAAAATTTCACGCGCAAGCAGCATCGCAGCGATATTGAAATTGAATTTGAAAACATCCAGGTTTTTAAGTTCTCACCCTTGGGAGGCGGTGGACACAACTCCTCACCTCCGGCGACCGTCTCGACATCTGCGCAATCGATGGCAACGCGCAGTTGCACAGGCGCACTTGTGGACAGCCGCATGCGGAAGTTGTCTACTATCCAGCTATCGAAAAATTTCTTTTGCGAGCCTGCTCCCGCAGCCCTCATGGCAGGGAAACCTTATGTCCTTTCCATGCATCACAAAGAGATTCACTCTTGCAAGCGAATCCTGGCGAAGGCGAAATTGCTTCTCACCGCTTGAAAAGGGCTTTGTACGCAGAATCTGATGTCAGCTACCTTGAGGTCAAGATGGACGGCTTCGCTGGGTGGCAGCCGGCAGAGACAGTCAACCAGACGGTGCTGAACCGTTACTTTGCAAAACTGGCTGATGGCACCATCCGCCGCAGGCGACCCAAATTTGCAACGAATGGTTGAGCTTTCTTTCTGGCGTCTTCCACGCATCCGAACCAAAGTTTAGATACATATATCATATATATATATATATTAAATATATATAGATATATTTATTTATTTTCTTATTTATTTATTTATTTATAGTTATATGTAACATGTGTATATATATATAGTTAAATGTATATATATATATATCTTTAAAATACTATTTGAATAAAGAAACAAATAAATATAATATATATATGCGCTTGCATATGTAGTTGATGTGTGTATATATTTGAAATGTTTTCATCACACCCTTTTTCCATTGAACTGATGCACATACACGCGCGCGCACACACACACAAGTTATTGCGCCACCTGTCAGGCGGCAGCGGCGCCAAGAGGTCCGGTCTCAGAAATGGCGTGGCTTCAGGCCCCGGAGCCGCAAGTACTTGGCTCCTTGGTCTTCAGAGCAAGCGCGGGCAGAGAGCTCCTGTCAGACGCACAAGGAAGGCGAGCAGCACGTTGCTGCAGCATCCAAGTCGGCTGGCTTCTTGCTGGCGGTGAGTTCTGGAGGACTTATTTAGCTAGCTCTTATTTTTTTGTTTGAACAAAATCGGGCTTTGCTAGGCATGCTCAGCATTTAGTGGGTAGATTTTGGTCTTGGCTGGGGTTTCTGGTCAAGTCATCACAAGTGGATACCTGTTTTCCTTTCTCATGTGTTCTTTCAAACATGTTTTCCTCGCACTCATCCCTGCAAGGAATGATTGTCGATATTCAAGAGCTGGTGTGTGCAGAAAGTTTATCCCAACGTTATTGTTTTTTGAGTACATTGGCTACTCGCTGGCCACAGCTAGCAATTGTTTGCCACGATGACGCATGTCATCTCAAGCTCTTCGCGCTCCAGCATCGGCGCAGTACTGCCATAGCGGAGAGATTGGCGACAATGGATTTCATTGTGGATCGCTTTCATGCGCCTGGTCACTGTGGGGAATATTGCGCACAGCACTGCTTACCAACCATTGAAGAAAACAAGCGATTGCTTGGAACTTTCCCGACCGAAATCGCAGAGATCGTAAACAGTGAAATGACCCCACTTGGTCATACCATTCACCACATGGGCAAGTTTTTCACGCAACTTGTCGTCAGCGAATGCACGGATGTGCATAATCTAAGTCGCCTCCTGGCTTTGCGTGACAAGCAGCGGGCTGACGCTAAGAAACGTCGATGAGGCACAATCCAACCTTGTTCGACCTTTTGTTTTCGAACTTCTCATGAACCCATCCATACACAGAATTTGAGGTAAACGGTACGGCCAACCCTGTGGGAGAAAGGGAAACACGCGCATTCCCGCGACATATCACTGCGGTTGCAGACGATTTCCATCAGATTTTTTACTTGCTTTCTTGTCACTTTGGAACGCGCACACGGGCGACCAGCTTTGACAGGATGATGCGCCATCTACACCGCTGCAGAGGCCATACTGTCTTCGTATTTAGTTTTTTTTTCATATATATATATATATATACATACGTGGTATCAAATCCCTTTCCAACCCCGAAAAGACATATTTCTCATCCATCAACAAACGATTATATATATATAAATATGTATGGCAAAAGATCCAAGAGTGATGGTATGGTATTTAATTGCTTCATTACATGGTTATCATAGCTCATGCGGATCACAATGGAAGTGTTGCCATTTGGGGCCTATTTGGGGGAAATATATCTTGGGGGTATAAAATCAACCACACTGATGACATAATAGGGATATCCTTACAGATAACAAACATTATGACATTAGTAAGCCATGTGGAGCACAATCGGAAGGCATTGCGGTATTCAGGCATACCGTACCTTTTTAACGGCTTGAAAGCGAATAAGCATTTCCACCCAGAGACTATGAGGAACATTTTTCAAGGATGTGTAATAGGATATAAACAACTTTTCCGTTGCTATTCGAGACTTTACTAACATTAGGTATCATGCAGATTTTCCACAAATAGCCCACTTCTCTTGTGGCCAGCCATTTTTCTATGTGGGTTCAAATGGATGTTATCCACCGTTTCACTGGGATTGCTCGGAATGATATGTTTGTTCATGAAAGAACAAATAGACAAGTAAATAAATAAGATAAGTATATCTACATATACATATATATATATACGTGTGTGTTTGAGGGCAATTGCAAACTTATATTCAACAATATGCGAATCATCTCCATCTCCTTGCTACCACTACCGCCACCTAAACGTTAATCAGAAGGTGTGACTTGCGAGTCACCCCTGTTTTTCTTTAATGAAAATTAATCCTAGCGCCACTAAATGCATTCTCTATCTAGATACCCTTTAAAACTCAAATTTCGACAATATATTGTGAGAAACTAGTTCATATCTACATGGGTGTCGGGCAACTCTTCTAGAGCCTGGTAAGGCCATTAAACAAGACCGACGATCTCGCTACCCAAACTAGTTATACCCATGCTATGTCCTCATGTACATGTTGGGATCCTATACACCTTTCTTGTAATTCCCATGAGATGTCCAGATATAAGTTTGAGGTCTCACACACCCCTTTTTCTACCTTGGTACAGCTCCACCGAGTGTACCTCACATTCAGGTTCACACCTGCAGCACCGAGACTGGTAGCAGCGAATCGTGAGTTTTGATCGCTTGAGCCTAGCGCGTTAGACCCAACGGCAACGTTTTTTCCCATTATATATTCCGAGAACCTCACTGCACGGTCTCTCATTGCAATTGTTCAAACATGTATTTAAAACAGGAAATTGCGCCATGCCTGGCTCTGATTGAACGTTGCCATGGCTGATCTTGCTTTGGGCTGTGCAGGTGCTATAGTTTAGTCCCATTTGCCTGACTGAGTGGAACTAGGGTCATTGAACATACGCCAGCGATATTTCAGAATTGATTGAAACAATAGTGCGAGTTGATCAAGACCTGCAGAAAACTGTCTGCAGAAAAATGATGTGATTTTAACAGGGGAAAGATGTTGGTGTTTTTCATCATATGCACCGCCTTGTTCTCCGTAAACGACTCCAAGATATTCAAACCGAATAAGTCGGTGAAATCCAAATGGGACATTTCAAGTGGCCAGACTACTTGGAATTCCGGACATCTCTCACGGCATCCAAACGACATTGCTTGACGCGAACCAAAAAATAGTTTTCGAAAATCATTGTTACATTGAAAAGTATTACATTCTAATAGGTTCTTGTTGCTTGTTCAACAGGTTCTTTCCTAATCAATGGTGCATCTCGAGTCCAGTGATTGTTTTCGCCGTCATGATGCTCGTGTACACCTTTTGTTCACTTCTTCCATCTCCTCCTGTGGAAAAAAAAATGTTCCTGGTGCTGGCTTCCCGCAGCTAGTCCATGTGCGAAAGGCGATTGTCAAATAGAGATTTGACAAGAGAGGCAAGAACTGAACTGCATGGGGTGATCATGTTGTTTTTTTTTCAAGTGGTAGGGTAATCAGTTTTACGTGTGGGTGGAAATCAGCACAAATCGATGTTTTTGGTTGGAACATACACGGTAGATTTGTTCAAGCAATCTTGCGCCGCATACAGGACAGCAAAACGCTGCTTGATGTATATGGCTGATATTAGCTGCAAGCAAATTACCATCAACTTCCCCCTACCTTCCCCCTGAGGTAGCAGTCCCCGGTATTTCGGGGCCCTGGATCTAAGCTAGGAAGTTATGAGCACTTGTGGTCAACTGTCGGAGGGTAGCACCTTTTTTGCAGCTATGCTAGCAAGTCTTGAGCCACGGAGTGGCGCAGTGGATGAAATGAATTAAAGTCAACATGTCACATTAAAGTAACATGAATTAAAGTGAAGTTTAGATGCGTTGTGTGGACACGTCCCCAAAAGTAGGTTATACACCCCCCGCCAACCCACCAGCCACAAATCCCGCCCAGCCGGCCAACCGGCCATCCGGCCACCCCGGCCATCCCGGCCACCCGGCCACCATCCCTATACCGACCACTCGCCATCCGGCCATCCGGCCATCCGGCCACCCGGCCACGGCCACGGCCACCCGGCCACCCGGCCACACGGCTATATTCACCATCCGGCCACCCGGCCACGGCCACCCGGCCACCCGGCCACCCGGCCACCCGGCCACGGTCACAGCCACTTCCCCCATCGCCCCGGCCACGGCCACGGCCACGGCCACCCGGCCACGGCCACGGCCACGGCCACGCACGAAAAAAAGCAATCCTCCCCACGGAAAGCCCTGCAGGTCTATGCTGGAAAGGTGGTGCACATTTTGCAGTTCAGGAGGTGCCTATTTTCAGTGATGGAAGAAATTTTTGTCATGATTGCGCATGGAGGTGAGTGGCTTACAGTGACCGAGGCGCTGGCTGAGGAAATGCTGCTGCTGGAAGCTCTCCTCCCGCTGGCCCAGTTCAACCTGAAGGCTAAGGTGGACCCAGTGGTCACTTGCAGTGATGCTTCAGAGAGCGGCGGTGGCATGTGCTTCTCATCACGTCTGAGCTGGGCAGGGCGTGCAGAAGCAGAGTGGCTGGTCAAGGAAGGTCCAGATAAGGACCCCCAGCGGCCAGATGCCGAGGTCGTGTCAGAGCAAAAGATTTTGGTCATCGATCTTTTTGCAGGTTTGGGAGGCCTGGAAGTTGCCCTGGAAAAGGCGGGAGTGAGAGTGCACCACTCACTGATGGTTGAGAAGGATGTGGACTGCAGGCGCCTGTTAAGGAGGAAATACCCGGGTTCCGACTTCTGCAGCGATATAGCCAAGTTCAATGAAGGGCTGCTGAAGAAGGCGATGGAGAAGGTGCCGGGGCTCACTGGTATCATTGTGGGCGGCGGTAGCCCATGCCAAGGGCTCAGCCGGCTTTCCTCGGAAAGGAGCCACCTTGAAGATGAGCGCAGTGCCTTATTCTATGAGGCGGTGCGTGTGATGGAAATGGTGGAAAACATGGCCTCGGAGAGGCGCCTCTGGATCATAAAGTTCCTGGAAAACGTGGTCCCGGATGAGAGTGACATTGATGAGATGTCGGCGGCCTTGAAGATTCACCCTATCCTGGTTGAATCCGGAAAACTCAGCAGGGTGCGACGGCCGCGGCTGTACTGGCTGTCCATACCAGTGGGGGACCCTGGGGACCCAATGCGGGGCCAGGGCCCTTCATACGATGTGCTGAGGCTGGAGGCCACCCCGAGCCGGTGGGGAGCTTTTTAAAGCAAGGAGTTACCTGGCCAGCCGGAGAGGCTGATGGAAACCTGAGGTTTCCAACCTTCACCAGGTCAATTCCGCGACGTCGGCCTCCTCCTTGCCCAGCAGGGTTGGACAGCACAGACACCGTGACCCGTGACCGTTGGAAGAATGACATGTTCCGGTACCCGCCCTATGTGTATGCGGAGAGGTTTTTGGTCAAGGGCACTGATGAGGTCCTGAGAACGCTGTCAGCGGCAGAAAGAGAGGTGCTGATGGGGTACCCCCGGGGGTACACATCCGCGCTTTTGAAAAAGATGCCAGAGGGCGAAGAAGAACTTCAAAATGCAGAGGACCTTCGCTGTGCAGCCATTGGCAACTCGTTCCACACCAACACAGCGGCGGCCATTTTTGACAAGGCCTTTGCCACCATGGGTCTGAAAAAGGAGAAAGGAGTGCAGAAAATTGTGGATCAGTTTGTGAGCAGCTTGGAGGCCCCGCCGGAACCAAGCCTGGCGGATGAAGCCCCAGTGTCAGAAGGGGAAGATATGATCCTCGAACGCGAGGATGATGAGGAAAGTCTCATTGGAGAGACGATGCAGGCGGACCTGGAGCTGAAGGCAGAGAAGTTCCAGACGGATGAAGAGCTTTTTTGAAGAAGGGAAACGCCTGAGCGTCAAGTTAGTTGCGGCGTTCATCCGCCGGCAGGAGCTAAGGGGCTCAGACGTCCGCTTGGACGTAGGGTCCCTGTATAGGCCTGATGCTTTCCCGAGAGGGTCGATTGACCCGTCAAAGTGGCTGTGGCATGTCGGTCTCGCTTACCGCTTCAAGCACAAGGAGCATATCAACATCCTGGAGTTGAGGGCGCTGGTGGGGGCCTTTGAGTGGCGCCTTAGGGCAGCAGCGTTCTCACAATGCCGGGCCCTGCACCTCACTGACTCGGTGGTGGCCCTCTCGGTGGCGGTAAAAGGTCGCTCGAGCTCCAGATCGCTGAACAAGATCCTTCGTCGGTTTGCGGCACTACAATGTGCGGGCGGTATTTACCCAGTGCTGGGCTGGGTGGAGTCCGGGGACAACCCGGCGGACGAGCCCTCCCGCCGCTATGCCGCGTAAACGGCGCATTGAAGCGCTGCCGACGAAGGAAGCTCGAGCACGTGCCAGGAAAAAGATTGGTAAGCTGAGACATCAAGTTATAAGCCAGGCCACAGAAGAACGCTATGCGGAGGCGTTCAGAAGGTTTCGTTTGTTTCACAACCTGGGCAAGGATTTTTGCATTGAGAATTATGAAGAATTCGATGATACAGTTGCAGAATATGTGGAGTTTTTGTGGGAAAGTGGCGAGCCGAAGAGCTATGCCAACTATACCCTTGCGGCCGTACAGTATTATCGGCCGCAGTCCAAGCAGCACCTACCATGGAGCTGGAAGCTGGCAAAGATTTGGAATCAAGTTGAGATGCCAGTGAGGGCGACACCCATGTCTCCCAAAGTAATGCTGGCCTTTGCGGGGGTAGCGTTACAATGGGGCAAACCCGAGTTTGCATATCTAATTGTGGTGGGGTTTGCCCTTTTCCTACGAACAGGTGAGCTGCTGCAATTAGCTCCTCAGCATGTCACGCTGTCCAGCAAGCTCGCAATCATTTTTGTTGAAGGCTCAAAAGGGAGCAAAAGGTCCTTTCTGCCATTGGAAAGGCTGGAAATCGATGAGCCTACGGCCCTATCGGCCCTTCGATGGTTGATCAAAAATGGAAAAGGGAAAACCCCCTTCTGGGGTGAGTCCAGGAGGTCCTTTATGGATACCTGGCATGAAATTGCTGCCCATCTCAAGCTTCCACCGGGGCTCTTTAAACCCTATTCTTTAAGAAGAGGTGGAGCTACCAGTGCATACAAAAATGGGTGCCCTTTGGATACCTTGGTATCAAAGGGCCGGTGGCAGCATCTTCATACTGCCAGGATCTATCTGGATACGGGCCTACAAGCTCTAACTTCACTGACACTGCCCGCAGCCTCCCATCCCTGTCTACAAGCGGCCATCAGATTCTTTTTATCTGTGAGCCAGCAGGGAGCGCGTGGAAGGTAGGGTAGATGTCCCTCGCCTGTGGCCTTCAATTAAAGGCTATGGGTGGGGTAGATATGGCGCTTGTAGCCTTTTACAATTCAGAGGGCACGGACTGTAGAGTGAAAACAGCCGTGCGTCGGAGCTGCAGGCGGCAGGAATGCATATATATACATATTATGTTATGTTATATATATATATATACCCTCTGGTAAATAAACATAGACCCTGAAAATCACCAATTTTCAATGGAAACGAGCATCTTCCAAGCCCGATGACTGCCAGGGTCGAACTGTTAATTTACCAGAGGGTATATATATCATATATTCCATATAAACGCCTGTTCATTCATAGGATAGCCATCACAAGACGGCCGACAGGTGGGCGCCATTGCATTGGGGGGCCTTGAACGTGTGGCTGTGCTGAAGCACGAGGCCGGATTGCTACGGTGATGATGGGAACACCGTGGAGGACCCGGCCTGGTAAACATACAAAAGCCATGGAAAATCACCATTTTTAATGGGAAAATCAACTATAAATGGTCCATTTTCAATAGCAACCGATTAAATTACCAGAGGGTAGAACAGCAAAATCTCATGGTTTACTGAACAACGGCTTCTGGAACATGGCACTTTGTTTGAAATGGTTGGTGAAATTAGAACATCATGTTTCCGCTTCTTGATTCAATGGCTGCAGAATGGGGATTTCATGGGCCCAAGCCCCATGCGATTTGAAGGGGGTCTTTCTGAAAGGATCCCTTTGGAGATGTTCGAGGGACTTGTGTATGTTCCAAAGGTATGTTCAATTTACATTGGAAATCAGGATAGAACCAAGACATCTGCCGTGTTTGCCTGTCGTAGCTCATGACCATCTGGTTGGACAGGTCTTAATGAAGCGTGCAGCGAAGGAGAGAGAACGAGAGGACACAGAATGATGTACTGCTTGGTCTCTTGATGGGGTTGCCGTGATGTTGGAACTTTCCACGTCTTTGTTGACAAACTTGGAATAAGAACAACTGGAGTAACCAGGGGGTGGTCGAGGTGGTCAACCCTTTGTACCATTGGACGAGGAAGCCAGACGGAAGGCGAAGGAAGCGAGAGAAGCGAAGGAGCCCGGCTAGATCTTGGAGCGCCAGGGATGGTTCACCAATGGTATCCCGAGATGGATGGATGGTGTATTTCGACTGGAAAATCCAATGGAAAATCCCCCGAAATGGATGACTGGGGGTAACCCCCGAAATTTTTTGGAAACCTCCATCTCAGATGATCTGACCTATAGACTCTTCCATTGAGGTAGTTGTGGGTGTGATGGGGTTTTGTCCATTTTGCCCAGGCGACCGCAGATCAGGGCTACATGGAGCAGGCTGTCACTGTCACGTCAGGGTGGTGATGATCCAAATTCATGGGATCAGATCCAACAGCTCATGGTACATGCTGCCGAAAAACTTACAAAAAAAGCCTTCAATTGGAATTTTTGGAGGGTAAACAGCAGGGTTTCAAGCAATGGATTTTCCCACCCATTGAGGCATCGAAAAGCCATGTTTTGCCTCGGGTCTTCAGGAGCCGGAGGAGCACAAGAATCCCAAGTGCCAAGATCCTGAGGCCATCCTTGACCCCCCAAAGAATGGATGGATACCCTCTGGCAAGGTCACATTTTTGCTATGGAAAATCTCCATTTTTCATGGATAAATCAACTCGAAATTACCAGAGGGTACAACAAATGGCCAATTGTATGGGTCCACTGGTACACATTTTGGTTCGACATTGACTCCAGACGCCACCTAGCGACCGTGGAAGGTTGTTGCGGCGTTTGACTATCCCAGTGTTCTCCCGCTGTTGTTGGGACCTTGGTGGTAGGTGCCAAGACCCTGGGATACTATGGTTTGCACGAGGGAATAGCTGCTAGTTATGGATCATCATCCAGGATGGATGCGGATTCCAAGTTGCCCCAAAATTCATGGGAAGATTCGCGTTTTTTTGGCATGTTTCTGGGAGATCTCCAAATGAAGACCCCCAAAAACAGATTCTACAGCAACAAAAACCGCCCTTTTCGGACAAGTAACCCCCAAATAGATCGAACAGAGTTTTTTTATCACCATTTTCCTAGGGGGGTTGCCAACTATCTTTTTGGGGGGTTGCCAACTATGCTATTCTCATCTGCCAATAGAGGTTGGTTCTCATCACTGAGGCCCGAGCCCTTCAAGGCCGGCAGGCTGCCGGCACCTTTGACCAGCACCTACGCCTGGGGCTGAGGGAAGTGGCGACTGAGGCCCTGGTAGAGCTGAGGTAAGACATGGTTTTTAGGGAACCCAAACAGTCGGGAGGATCCTGATTTTGGGGATGATCGTGGTGAATCTTATTCACGTGTTTTTTTAGTTTCGGAATGATCATGATTGCCCAGATGGCATATTCCAAGGCTTCCAACAGGTACTCTGCAGGTGTTGGAGGACCTCACATCCCCCCAAAGTCCCCCAATTTACACAGCCCTTTGATGGAAAATCATCAAGAGAAACAGGGTCAATATCAGCCAAATATCAGCCAAGCATGTTTGAGAATCATTAGATTCCAATTTTAGATTTTCGAAATTCAGCACGGAGAGAGGTTCTGATGACCCCAGGTCAAGATGCATTTGGGCAACATACTGCCACAGGCTGGGACGCTGGGATGATGGACCAGCTCTCCAAAGGATTCATAAACCCTGGTTGATTCAATTGGTTAGACAGTGACAAACTGGGATCGCCCCTAATGATTAACAAGCCCACGGACTGAAAAATCCAGGTTGACATTGATAATTGGATAGTTCAATAATGTTTTAGCTCTTGAACAATGGTGTTTTACCCCCATATTCTTAGTATTTTCATGTATTTTCACCATTTCCTCTGCTCAGAAATAGATTGGCTGGGCCCTGTTGTCACTGTGCTTGGACCAGGTTCTTGGGAACCTCACCCAATGGACCACCGACATCAGAGAAGCAGCGGTGCCGTGGCTCAATGGCTCAAGGTTTCACCAAGACTCTCAAAGATGGAGCCTTTAGATGATTTTACCCTCGGGTAAACTAACAAAGCTATTGAAAATGGCCACTTATAGTGGATTTTCCCATTAAAAATGGTGATTTTCAATAGCTATGTTAAATTACCAGAGGGTAAATGATTTTAAGTGGCTAATTGGGGGGGGGTACCATTGAAGTATGTTAAGTATTGGATGACGGGGAAATATTGGAGGAGTACCCCCCCTAATTAAATGATTTTAAATGTGGTTTCTCACACTGATTTTTATCATGGCCTTCCCATTAGATCTGTTGAACAATCTTCAAAACAACGTAAAACGACGTTAAAAACGAAGCAGGATTTCTGGCCGATGAACAGTTGCCGCGTTTTCCAACGTGGTTTGCCAAAAACGAACTCCCAAATTTTGATGGTTTATTTGATGATTCGTTTCCCCTAAGAATCTAAAAGTTCTAAAAACCATGGCCATCAATGGATGACGCCGATCTTTTGAACGATCAAACTCTCCTCACCCCGAGGCCAGACTTTTGCAGGTGGTGCTGGTGTGGGACCTCAGTGCCGAAGCACCGTGGAAGATTCGCCATTTGGGCCGTCCAAGTTTCAGTCTCACAAGATCATAGAAGCTTTCAATCTATTTCCAGATAAAAAGAATGATGTATTTTCCCGAAAGATTTAACTTGAAGCTTTCAGTTCGACTTACCCCTTTGATCCTCGAGGGCCCCAGGGGCCCCTGGGCTCTGTCCGCTTAGGTGGTGGCAAACAAGCACATCGCTCCCTTCTTGGATGCTGTGTTGGTGCACCTCTACAAGGTGCAGATGGATCGGATTTGGTGTACCTCTGGGGATTTGCTGTGACAGCCACGAAGGCACAGGCGGATGATGACCAAAAGGTGTCGAGCATCTCGCGGTTGTGCCGGATCTCCCAGCCATGACGTGCGGATTTTGTTTCGTGATGCAGATGAACAATCCAGCTGAGATCCAAATATATCCAAATATTTATCCATATATGTATTTCATCATATTCATTCCTGATTCTTCGAAATTTTCAGATTCACAAGAACATCACAACTCGTTACAACATACAGGAACGTGGAAGTTTGAAAGATGGTCTTTGGAAGATAATTTTTTGCCTTGGACATGGCAAGGTGTTTATGGCTTCCACTTTTGAGGTGTGGAAACTCCAGGAATTCCTGGTGGATTCTCCATTTTTTCCCACACCCGATGTTATGTTTAAGCCATGTATCACCCACAACCTCACTAGGTTGCTTCCCTGTGTACAAGCAATTTCCAATCCTTTTCCAACCCATTTTCCAAGATCTACCTTTCAAATCCAGAAAATGTGAGGAAAAAAAATGGTTGGATCTACCCTTCCGTTCTACAAAATTCCGCTTTCCATGTTTCGTTTGGCCGGTACCGCGATGGCGAAAAAGGGTCCGTCCCAGGTGCCTCCATGGTGGGTGTGTTCCTGGAGCCGGAGATGGCATGGAGCCATAGAGTTTGACAGATATTCTATGATATATGATGTATGATATATGGTATATGATATATGATAAATATATTATGTTCTATTATATATATATAATTTTTAATCATATATGATTATATACGTATTATGATCTATGATATTCTATGATCTATGATCGATTTATTTTCGATTATCTATTATATATTGTATATTGTCTATTATATATATTATCAGTTGCCTATCTATCTCTATATATGTCTATTGGGCCATAGATCTTGTCTATATACATATTGGATAGAGAAAAATGTTAGACAATGGAACAGACACACACACACATATATATATACATAGATTACAAATAACTAATTTCATTGATGTAGATCAATGAAACATCTTTTCCTTGATTTAGGCAAATGGATAGAACTTTGAAGATATAATTTTGGACACACCGTTTCTTTGACATAGAATGATGGATGCAATGTAATGAAGTATGATGACTCCCTACAAGATGCTGATAGTGGATATAACAAACAGATAGAAATACATTAACGATCATTTTGGACCGGAATAAGGGCGTCGATACTTCTGGTTACAGTTTTGTGGACATTGACAGATAGAATATAGATAATGAGACATCTATAATGACATATAGCTTGAAGATTGGATAATTTATATATCTATAGATGTGTCATTATGATGTACCATAGATGTGTCATTATATGTGGATCATCTCTTTGGACAAGTACCATTGGTGCCAGCTTGAGGTGCTGGAAGTGGTTGGGAAGCATTTGGGCTTGAAGCACGAAGGTGAGCATTTTGGGGCTGTTTGACATGTTTGACATGATGTGGACGAGTTATTTCTTTCATCATTCGAATGGTTAGTTCAGAAAGATGGATTCTATGAAGTCCTAGCCAACCAACTACCCTCTGGCAAACTAACGTAACTATGGAAAATCACCATTTTTAATGGGTAAATCCACTATAAATGGCCATTTTCAATAGCTATGTTAGTTTACCAGAGGGTAATGTTTTTTCATCTTGCCCTGGGAAAACGATCACGGGAGAAGACTCTGTCAGTGCGCAGGCCAGCGGAAGGGAACTTCCTTTGACGAGCTGTGGCCACAAGACAAACACGGTCGCCGGCCGCTTAGAGTTGGCCCAGCCTGGTGAACCCCAAAACAACTGAACAACAATAGTTCTGGATATTCATCTGAAGAATAATCTGGTTAAAACAATGCCATAAACCATCCCCTAGTCATCACCATTTTTATAGGTGGTGTAAACCATTCCCAGTCATGATGGGTGGTTTATGGCATTGTTATACCCCACATTATTGTATTTCATAGCTTTTGATTCATCCCCAAATGCGGTGATCCCAAGAATTTTTGCGTGTCACACCGTCACTCTTTTCGCATGAACCAAGGCCAGACAACTCGCACAGTGCAGGCGCGGTTTGTGGAACTCACTCCAGTTCTTCCAGACTTGAGCCATTTTTGTAGCACTTTTTTGCTGATGGCTTGGTGGAATTTCTTGGCAAATTGATGGGTTGGTCTCCACTGGTTGATCAAGTCGTAGGTTTCCTAGGAAGGTTTTTTTCGGGAAAGTCTAGAGGAACCCCCTTAATATTTGTTGGCACAATAGGCCATTGTGTCCTATATTTCTTCCACAAAGTCAATCCATTGACTATAATCAACCAGTCATTAATGGATTGATTTTCCGTAATTTCCATATAAAATCAATGGATTACGTAAAATCCTATAATGTTCACTGCAGGACATTGAAATCTTATATATCCATACAATCCATTGCATAAAATCCTATATTTCCATGAATGCCTATGATAATCAATCATTTCACTGCAAAAGTGACTGGTGCTGCCCTGTGATGCAGGACGTGTTGTCGGGTGTGAAGAACTTTGCCGCCACCACGGCAACGATCTGAGGGCACAATGCCATAAACCATCCGATTGACATAGGGTTATACTATGTTATAAGGTTTACGTAAGGTTATACTATGTGATACTATGTTATGCTACATATCTTGAGAATGATCATAATCCATGAAGTGGGACATCTGATTGATGTGGTAAACCAAAATAATAAACCATTCCATTCACCAAAGATGACTGGGGGTAATGATAAACATCATTCGCAGTCACAGTCATAGGGGTTACCCAATATATAAACCTCTATTTGGGATGATGGCCTGGACCTGAGTTCACCATTTCTGAGATCCTTTTTTGGGGTAATACGGTATCACATCATCCCACCATTTTGTTTCACAACCTCCAATATGGGTTTGTCTGAAAATAGTGTACCCCTAAACCCAATGGTTTTGCTGATCATTATCCCTATTAAATGGCTATAATTGGGAATATACCCTATTTTCAGACAAACCCATATGCATTAAAAGAGCCAATTCTTCCAAACTGATGACTATTCTCCATCCATCAGCAGCTCTGATGTCCCATGGGAGGAGAGAGTTGCCTACCACAACTTGCGCCCGAGGCGGAATCGCGACGACAAGTCTTTATCGTCCTGGCGAAACTGCTTCACCCGCCTGACCCCCAGAAGCGGGATGACCACGTGGTGGTTTCCATGGGGTACCCCCAATAGCTGGATGGTTTAGAATGGGAATCCTACTAAAATGGATGATGACTGGGAGTACCCGCATAAAAATGGAAACCCCCACGTATGAATAAACATTATCATAAACTTACAGATGGTAAGTCATTGAGTCATTGATGAAAACTGACTTACATCTGGTAAATATACCAGCTTGGGACTGGTAAAATCATGAGATGAAAGAACGACAATGATTGGCCGGGAATATTTTGTAGCAAACCTACCCGTTTTCATGTTTATGTACCCTCTGGTTATTCAACGTAGCCATGGAAAACGACGAAAAACACCGTGAAAATCCATGAAGTTCACAAGTAAATAGTAATGTTTATCATCTATTTCTATGGGCTACGGTTTCCATAGCAAACTGTAACAAAATACCAGAGGGTATAGAGTTTTATTGTTGGGTAGACCCCCCCGCGATGGTTGATAAATGGGATGGTTTATTAGTGTAATTGTTATTTATGTTCTTGTGATTATCACATATTATCACCATTATTATTGGGTTGATCTAAACCATTATTATTGGGTTGATATTTCATTATCACTACTTGTTAATGTTATTATTTATGTAATAATTATTATCATTATCATTATTATTGGGTTGATATATATCCCACCATGGCTGATAAATGGGATTGCTTACATAAACATAGGGTGTATTCTTATACCACATTATCAATGAGAATGTTTTGATGTTTATGTACCCTCTGGTTACGGAAAAACATCATTGTAAATAGGTTTATAAATCTTCATAAATGATCTACAAATGCGCCTGTTCCATAGCAAACTGTTAGATAATCAGAGGGTGTATCCCAGCTATTTGATGAATCCCACTTGATACCATTTATATATCCCACTTGATAGGAAATCATTGTCATTATCATCGTTATTACAATTATTACAATTATTGGGTTGATATAAATCCCACATCATTACCATTATCATTATCATGATTATCATTCTCATTATTATCATTTATATAAATCCGTATAAATCCCACATTATCCGTAGATCATATGAGTATGTTTTCATGTACCTCCCAGGACCTCCGCGACCTCGGGTGACTTTCAACGACCGCTGAAGAAGCCGGAGGTGAAGCTGGCCTTGCGCTTCCTGGAGGCTCGGGGGGTGGAGATTGGATGGTCGAATTTTAAACCAGGGCAGAGATTTTGAGGCCAGATAAGAGTATGGAAATCTCCAAAGTTTGGGCCAGATAAAGTATGAACATAATTTTCCCATTTTTGTTGATGACTTCCTGAAAAGAAACGGGCTAGTCCTGACACCACTTGGGAGTACGGAAAAAACAGGGGGACATGCTATGAACTCCCCCCCTTTGCTGCAGGAAGGAGTCCGAAGTGAGCTGCTACCAGCTGTACTTGCAGCAACTGAGTCCCTGCTAAAAGCAGGCAGCTGGGGGGAACAAAGGTGTCATTGATGTGCCGTGCATCCCATAAATACTGCAGGGAGTATGTCTAGGGGGTATGTCTAGTTTATAACTAGGTGAATTAACCATGTATCGTTGTTTCCACCCCTGCAGTTTTTTGCTGAAGGCAAGAAAAGGCTGTACACCTTGTCACGTGCTGCAAAGGTCCCTGCCGAGTGTCGACCTCTACACATAGTTTGTCCTAAGAACATAATACCTATATATACAATATGTTTGTCACAACTTTACCCTGGGAAGGAAGTGCCAAGTCCATGAACAGCTTGGTGATTTCCAAAATAGTAGTTAGGCCTAATACATATCACGAATATCATAGATATGAGGCCCTCTTATGATATGTAAATATCCTTTATTATCTAGGGGATTTTCCATTGCCATGTTTGATGACACCACGGGATATCTATAAATTGCTGGCCAATTAGGCCTCCAAAGCATCGCAGGTCAAGGTGCTTGCTTGGACGATTGGCCACGAGTCTTTGATCTCCTGCTCCGCATGAAAAGTGGTGAGGAGTTTTCCGGTGGGAAAGAAAAGTCTGGTGATAGCGATAATTTTTGTGGATTGAACTCGAAGGAAGCACTAAATTTGAAATTGTTGGTTACTCCATACAGTATAATTTCCTAGTTTCCCGTGGTTGATCCAGACATGTTTCTGAACTTGCTAATACTTTTAAGAACATCTTTGAACGTCTTTTAGGAACGTCTGTGATACATACATACATTTTACATTACATTTACATTTACATTTACATTTACATTTACATTACATTACATTACATTACATACAGACAGACATACATACATACACAGATAGATATACAGACATGCACACACACATGCATACCTGCATATGCACATACATGCATATGCACATACATGCACACACACACCAATACATACAATTACAAACCATTACAACCCATTCTACAACTACTATGTACCACTACACATTCCATTATACACATCACATACACAATAGGTATATATATATATATTTGAACGCAGTCCAATACATCGATTTTGTGATCTTCCCACAGCCCTGTGGCACTCGTTGGCTTTGTCAAAGGAGTGCAACCTACAGACCGTGGATGCCAACATCGACCACCTAGCACGACTTCTCGGGAGGCCCTCGCTAAAGATTGGACATTAATAGTGTATGTATATATATATACATTAGCCATATATTCAACTATACATGGGATTAGTGTCTAATAGTAGTGTAAATTAGCTTGGACAATATATGTTGCCATATTAATTATGTATATATATATAAACTGTATGTATATATATATACACACTGTATGTATATATAGTATATACACACATGAATAGGTATATACAGCAAGAATATATGGGGTTTACGAGCTTATTAAATGCGTTTCTCTGCACTTGTAGGTGTGATATGTTTCATGCTGCCATGATCCATGGGTTTGGGATATTGGGGAAATTCCTACGGTGGTAATCCCCTTTCAGAAGGGAATCCTGGGGACCATGTGTTGTTTGGAGGTGACATGTTTCTTAAATGTAATTATGTGTGAGTCATGTATGATTCAGCATCTGATTCATGTACCCTCTGGTAAACTATAACATAACTATAGAAATTCACCATTTTGAATAGGTAAATCAACGAACTAAATGGGGTATTTTCAATAGCGAACTGTTAGTCATTACCAGATGGCCTTGGTTGGTTTGGCTGGCGATTTTCCGGGGCCCACTGCAGTCACCTTTGTGTCTGAAAAACAGCCCACCGTTTGGCCCAAGAAACCACAGAGCTGTCATGACCTTCCGTGTGAAGTTGAAGTCAAGATGATTACAACCATTACATTTTTTCGGGCTGGAAACGATATGTTCTTACATACATTCCAATCTTTCCAGTGCAAATGAGACAAATTCTCTCAACATCAGATAACCCCATACAAAATCATATACAACATCAGATAACCCCATACAAAATCATATAACACATATAAATCATACAAAATCATATAAAACCATCCATATTTTCTTGCTGGAACTGACATTTCCTTAAACATCTCACGGGGCAGGTCGCAGCTGCAACTCTATGAGGAACATCTCAGGAGCTGGGTCAGCTGGGTTTTTCGCCCCACTGATCACTGACCATTGGGTTTAAGGTCACACTATTTTCAGACAAAGCCACATATGAAATTTTGACAATTTTTTGATTTTAGATGGATTTACATGTATGTATATATATATATATATATTTGAAGATATGCTTTATGGTTTTTGAACGCAACCTTTTTTTAAAAAATCAGCCCATTAGGTCCGCTGGCAGGAGTCGCTTGGGTGAGTTGCTGCAGGGGGCAGATGGGGTGCTTTGGGAGGTGCTGAACCGTGGATTTGGTGCTGTGGCTTGTTGGTGCTGGATCAATGCGGTACCAGGTAGTCACAGTTTGATATTTCTTCGGAAAGTCCCAAAAAACGCGGAGGATGCGGAGAAACATGTAGAATATGTTAAATTTGTGTATCTTAATGGAAAAGGGCAATGATCGTGGTAGTTTGAACAAGCCTGATTGTCGCTAGATTATGGAATGATTGTTTAAGGACTACTCAAAACCAGCATTTGACTCTGATCCAATGATAGTCAAAACCAAATTTCGACGATTTGCCAATCACGATTGCAGGGACAACCAGATGATTGTGGTATGACAATCCATTCATTTCATATTTTTCACACACGGACGGGTGATATTTCAATTTCCAGACTTTTTTCAGGGCAAATCACCCCAGGAAGACCCGGAGATTTGATGGTGGAACCATGGTTGGTCGGTTTTGATTTTACCAATCCATTGATCAATGCACCCAGCGCAAAGGGATGCCCCAGGATACCAGCCCGAATCGACACATCCTTGAGACGCTGTCGCAAGCTCATCACCGTGGGCGGCGGGGAGGTAACCCCCATTGACAAAGCCAACTGGAGGTAGAAATCGGATTTTCTGACCTGAGAGATATTGCCTTTCTACCTCCAGTTGGCTTGAAACTTGGAAAGTTGAACGTTTTTTTTCTTTTTCGTTTCTATGTAGTCACCTTAACTGTGGAGCAGATGAAGGCCTAAAGCTAGAGAAAGTTTCACAAGCAAGAACTTCGCTTTAAAGATGGATTGTTAGATTCATAGTTCCCAACAGCAGTGACTGTTGGGTTTCAATCTCCGTTTTTCTTTTTTTTGTGCCTGGTTTTTGCCACGTCCAAGCCACCGGGGAACGCGGCTTCTCGCAACGCAACGGAACAACGTCGTCCTTCAGGCTGCGCAACGCTGGCGCCGCAGTGGCGGAGCACGTGGGCAAATTGATGCCAGTGCTGGCGCGGCAAGCGAGCCCCGAGGAGTGAATTCCGTGCGTCTGGCGCTGCAGTTGGGCCAAAAAAAACCCGAATCTGACCTTTTGGGAAATGGGTATGGATCAATACCTATTAGATACCATTTTTAGTGGGATGAACATCCATAAATCCCAGCTATTTTGATGTTCAGCAGGGGTACCAGGGTTTTGACACACTGCCAAATGTCGTTTGGAATAGTTCGATCCGCTCTGCTGTTTCAAAAACCGAAGGATCTGACGTGATCTGACCTGATCTGACCCAGGGGACCATCTCCAGGATGCGAGTGCATCGGCTCGGGTAGACCTGTTGGGCTTGGTGCACTTTTTGGTGAACGAGGAGGACCTGGCCTGGAAGATGTCCTGGTGGTGGGTAGATGGTTCCAAGATGTTCCAAACTTGAGACATCTCTCTCTCTATATATACACAATGGTAATAATGTGTTATACTATGTTATACTTTATTATAATTGGTGATAACAATCATATTATATGTTTTGACATGTCATGATGATATGCCCATGTTATGGGGAACGGCCCAAGGGCCCGGGCGCCATCAACGGCCCCGTGTTGCCAGGATGAAGCGCTGGCTGAGGCGGTGAAAGAGAACTCCTTGGCCTTGCTGGATGGCATCCTCCTACCCAACTGCTCTTGGAGGCGTCCAACGGTGAATCTAAGGGATAACATGAGATGACTTTGGGATTTGCTGGGATAACCATAACTTAGTTTTGACTCACCATAAAATTCATGTTGGTTTTTGGCCATAAAGCCAGAAAGCCATTGATTTACCTAGGAAAACAGAGTGGTTTTCCATCCATTGGTTGATTTTCATTGGCTCAATGGATCGGTGGGAACATTTTTTGAGCGGAAACGGATGCGAGATTTTCCAAGCAATCCATTGATTTTTCATCATGTTGGGAAAGCAATGTCATGTTTACAAGCCATATGAATGGATGAATGGATGGTTTATATAGTTTATAGGTAGCCATTTATGGTGATTTCATGGGGATTATCATGTTGCTAAAAACCAACATTATTGAGTTTTTCAACCCAATGCATCATACCACACAGGCCTGGACAGTCCAACGGAAAGATCCGAAGAGGCGGTATGGCCTTGGGCCCCGGTGCTGGTTCTGCAACGAACCCCGGGTGAGGTGGCGCTTCAGCACTGTTGGATGATAGGGATTTATAGGGATTTATCTGGGATTTAAGCATCCTTAAGCTTCAACTATAGTTTTATGGGGCTTTTAATGTTTCAAAGACTATGGAGATACAACTGATAAACGGTGGATGATAAACGGTGGATTATGTAGCCCTTTGTATAGTCATCATGCTTTTTTTGGGGAATCCCGTTCTCAAGTAACCAGTTTTTGAAGGGACGACACAGGGTTTTGAACACTGCTTCAACTGTTAGTCAAACCGGGGTTTGCAATGAGAATCTTGGAACCCTGCGACAATCAGAGTACAAACTGCCAAAGTGCACATAGTAGTTTCAGATTTCTTCACTTTCCATCCAATGGAATTTCTGAAATTCTGGAATGGATTGAAACGACTACTGCTGGTAGAAGTCTTCAGGATGCTTCAAACTCGAGCGACTCGAGCGGCTCGTTAAGTCAGCTTCAGGGAGACTACTCAAAGGACATCCGAAAACATCCGATTTCTCCATTTTTCGTAAACTGAGCAGTTCATAGATTCCATACCCATAGAATCCATGTATGCTATATATGGTAACATTTACCATCAATATACAAAACATGTTAGCATATATAGCATGGATCCTATGGGATTTCTGGCGAAGAGCATTCCATAGACCTTTCCGGAGCTCCGTCATTTCCGAGGTCTGCGTCCACGCGATCCTTCGGCGGCATTTGGTGCCAGCAGCAGTTCTGAATGAGGCGTGGCTCGGAGAGTCTGTGAGAAATGTTGGAGGTCCCAAACCATGATTTCAAGCCGTTTAAAAATTGATTCCATGGTTGCATCTCATGCTTATTCTTGTTATATGCTTCTCTATATATATACACATTCAATAGATGTAGATCCATCCGATCCCTGCAGATCCATCGGAATCCTGTCCGCATCGTCTCCGAATCGTCGCCAGGTCTTCGTGGACTTGATGCCCATCCTGAAGAGTTGCCTGGATGATAGTTGGTCCAAGATCCCAGGGGAAGCGAACTGGGGCCCTGGGCTGGAATCCTGGAAGGTGGCAATGTCTAATTTATATAGTCAATAGTCCCCCCAAAAAAGTCCAGCTATGTCCATGATTAATATCATTTTGTGATATGTCAACAAGATTGCGATTACCAACATATTTACTGTCACGAATATGATTGTTGAACTGCTTTCTTTGGTGATGAATTTGATTTTTATTCTTGCTGAAGTCCATGGTTTCAATGGTGACGCAGCTGGTTTTGAGTTGCTTCTATCCATCAAGACTCCTGAGTGAAATTTGGCCAGCTTTTGGTGATTTCAATATTCTGAATCCTGTTGGTGAAGTCCTATCTTCTCCACAGTTTTGGTTAGTGATATGTTTCCAAATTTCCAAAAGCATGTCATTCACACTTGTGAAATTTGAACACATCTTTGAATCATTTATAACCATTAATAATCATTAATAATAATAATCATTAATAATAATAATAATTATAATCATCTATTAATCTTATCCTTTATTAGCTATAATAATCATCTATATTAATAATCATTACTAGTTGATTTTCCCATTTATAGATGATTTTCCCAGCTAGAAACCTCCATTTACCATGGATTTTCCATAGCTTTTTGGGTTCAAAACTGCAATCGACCGTCCGCCGACCGAACGAGGTCTCCGGACAATCGGATGATCGCCTGCCTGGTGTTGTCCTGCACGCTCTCGGACCTGCAGGCGATGGTTTTTGTGATTTTTGTATCGGGATTCACCAAGATGTTCTGGAGATTCCACAGGATTTTTTTTTTGATATATATATATATAATGTATATATATATAATATAATATATATAATATAATATATATATATATCCAACATTAACCAACCATGAAACTGAAACTGGATGAACTGGCTGCTTTTTTCTCCTGTTGGTTGATGATTTTTTTTGGGGTTTGTACTGCAGAATGTATCGGGGATTATCATATAAACATGGATGTTTGGCTGCTTGGTTGTATTGCTTTGTCTACCTGTGGCTTTTCTTCTTTTTTTTTTTCTGCTGAGTGTTGGCATGCTATGTCCCGCATATCATTTGTCATATCCCCACAATAATGCTTGTTGCTTCAATGCTTTTTTTTCTCGCCGATCTCCTAAAATCTGGGTCGTATTCATTTCCCAAGTCGCGGATTGAAACCCTTTTGTTTGGTTGCTGCCTGTTGACATCATATGTGTGGTTCAAAAGTGTCCCAAACAAAGATGGGATATGATGGGATCATATTTTTCCATTACGCCAGGCCGAAATCAATGGAGAGCAGCTCAGGGAGGTGGCGAACGCAGCGAATTCGAAATGTGTCTGGCGATGGCGTGCTATTTTGATGATTTGAAAACTGGATTTCGAAGTTTCAATTCCTAAGTTTCCTTGGGTCTAGAGCGATCCGCTAATAGTTAGGTCAAGGGAAACACCAGTGAATTCCACTTCTATTTTGGGATTTGTATACCCATCAACCGACCTTCCTTTGGTGGCATGATGAGCAAGGCTTCAAGTGACCACCGCCGCGCCGGTTGATCACATCATAATAGGTCTATCCAGAGCTGCTTAAGCGATTGGATGACTCCAACGACAAGATCCGAGTTGCTGTGTGTGAGGTGCGCAATTCTGTGGTGAACCATTGCTGTTGTAGCTGCTGATCATGAACATCAACTGGGGATGAAAAACCATAGCACTCATAGCACCATGAACAACAATGAGATGGTGTTGGTTCTTGTGACAGCAAGATCATGAACAACATCAACAAAACCATAGTTCTTGTTACTGTTCTTGTTCTTGATGATCTTGATGTTGACGACAATGATGATAACGATGACGTGAGACTTTTGACAGCGGCTGGAGGCTTTAGACGTGTTCTTCAAGTGCCTCCCGCACAACTGGAGCCGGAGTCTTTTCGAGTGCCCCGCAACGCAGGTTTTCATATCTTGCAACGTCCAGAAATGCAAAGGACATAAAGTTGTCGCAAGGGATTTGCCCCCTTTTTTGGCAGATCTTACCTTCCAAGAAAGGAAAATAGTATGAACAATTTTTGCCCTTTCTAGGACATGATTTATGAATGGTGGATTTTCCATCATTTGTGCCATGAAGTTCTGGAGAGGAGATGGGTCGAACGCTGGTCCCAACTCCAGGTACATCCTTCGGAACCTCTTCGTGCACTTAGACGATCCAAACCCAGAGGTTCTGCGCGAAGGGTGCTGACAAAAACAAGCAAGATAAGCACTGATGCACAATACACGTCCCTAAAGATTGTCTGTTTCAGATGATTTCAGAAATTCAGTATCAATGCATTTTTAAAAAAACATCAAAATTCATTTGATAATTTCAAGTTGTCCTTTTTTCAAGGCCATACTTGGGCAATACATATCAGGCTCCGCCCAAACCTTCCCGTTGCTCCGTTGCTCCCAGCCTCCGCGCAGATCCAGCAGGGTATCTACACGGTTCTCCAATCGGCAGTTCATCAGGTGCCAATCTGTGGTGGTGGATGTAATAATATGTCATATGAGTGATAATGGATATAAATGGATATAAATGGATATTGATGGATATTTCATTTATATATGATGGATAAATGGATATTGATGGATATTGACGGATATTGATGGATATCAATGGATAATCATATAAATGGATATATGGGCAAACATCTTTGCTGTGAACACGATGGCGAAAATGATGGTGAAATGCGACCCATCCAGGGTCCGGCACCAGGACTATGCGACTTTCCTGAAGGAAGCGCAAAGTGCTGTGTCCAAGAGCTCCCACCCCCGACTGTGCGGGCACCTGGTTTCTAGATGTTTCTAGTGTTCGTTCGAACTTCGAAACTTGGATAACTTGGATAACTTGGGACTTGGGTGGTGGTTTTCATATTTCATTTTTCTATACCTGTAGCAGTTTCCCTTAGGAAATCAGGTGGGTTAACTCCCCTTTTTCGAGGACCTGGGGTTCGAAAACGGACCACACCACCCAGGTGCGAAGAACTGGTGCGTTTGGCTGAGAGCCTGCAGACATCATCCTGTGAGGAGACAGTTGGAGAGCCGAGTTAAGTGAGTTGAGCTGGCTTCAATATATATATATATTCATATTATATATATATATTTATATATTCAGATTGTATTCATATCTACATCAATATACATATTGTATAAACATGTTATGTATTTATATATAATATACTGTAATAATATATATATATTTATATATACATGTGATCAACTTTTGTTATTGGTGTTTACGATCCTTTCAGCGTTCAGCCAGGATGTGGTGGCAGCATGACTCTTGGCGCCGCTTGGCGTTTGGCGTTTGGTAGGCCGTTTTTCGAGAAGTCGTGGTGTTCTCAAAAATGAGGACCTGAAGACATTGGACAGTTGTGACATGTGAGAAACTCTTAGAATTCAACACAAAAACCCTGAAGAGTGCTTGGTTATGCGTTTGAGATGCGATTTGATCATGGACATGACATAAAAAGATGGTTTAAAGACCGAAAACGGGAAAAAGTAGTATCAACACAAATGAAAAAGCATGAATAATTCTTGGCAGACCTGCATGTGCATGGTAGCGCGAACGTGTGCGTGGCCTTGTTGCCATGCTGCACTTTGCAGTAGGGCAATGGTCAGTGGGCGGTCAAGCTTTGCTTTGAAAAAACATTCTCTGAGTACTCAAATCTCATATATCTGGTTTGCGAACTTCGCTAGCCATACTCGTAAACCCATATGGGGGTTTCCTGAAATGGGGGTACCCCTAAATCATCCATTTGTAGATGAATTTCCATGAAATAAACCATCCAGCTATTGGGATACCCCCATTTATTTAGCCAATTAGGATGACTTTAAACATTTTAATAGACATTTCGGGATGCCCATTTTAATAGAATTTCCATTAATACGCTAAATTCCCATATATTTAACGAGTTAGACGGAGGTTCTTTGCCCAGTTGACTTGCTGATCGCTCACCTTGACAATGAATGCGACCGAATCCAGCTGTTCGGCCTCGCAGAGCAAAGGTGTGTGGAGGTGAGGTGCCTGTGTTAGGAACCTCCAAAAAGATAGAAGTTGGTAAATCTAAATCTAAGTCTAGTGATAAATTATATACATTTCTATCTTGTTTGGGGTTACCATGACTTCAAGTTGTTCCACAAGGGTTGGAAGCCAGCCTTGAAGGAGGATATCTCAGCTTGCGATGACTCAGCAGTGTTTGCTGGCAGCGTTTGCTGGGCTCAAAATCAGCAAGACCAAGATGGGCTGTGGGAAGTGGATTTGAGATTTGTATGCTTCAACAAAATGTCACAAAAATTTGAACTTTTGCCCCATAGAAAGATTAGAAAAACACCACAGTTTAGGGGGAACGGAGCAAATTTTGAAAATCAGTAGACCATGTGGATAGCGCTAGATTGATAGAAGGATCGAGCCATGAGCCACGGTGCGCTGGTGGGTCGTGCTCTGGCGCTGCTGAGACAGGACAGATTTGGTCCAGTGATTTCTGTACATACATACATACATACATACATACATACATACATCGATACATACATACATACATACATACATACATACATACATCGATACATACATACATACATCGATACATACATACATACATCGATACATACATCGATACATACATACATACATCGATACATACATCGATACATACATACATACATCGATACATACATACATACATCGATACATACATACATACATCGATACATACATACATACATCGATACATCGATACATACATACATACATACATACATACATACATACATACATCGATACATACATACATACATCGATACATACATACATACATCGATACATACATACATACATCGATACATACATACATACATACATCGATACATACATACATACATCGATACATCGATACATACATCGATACATCGATACATCGATACATCGATACATCGATACATCGATACATAGATACATCGATACATCGATACATCGATACATCGATACATCGATACATCGATACATCGATACATCGATACATCGATACATCGATACATCGATACATCGATACATACATAGATACATAGATACATAGATACATAGATACATAGATACATAGATACATAGATACATAGATACATAGATACATAGATACATAGATACATAGATACATAGATACATAGATACATAGATAGATAGATAGATAGATAGATACATACATACATACATGTGTGATATCATATACATACATATATACATTTATATATACATGATACATACATACATACATACATACATACATACATACATACATACATACATACATACATACATACATACATACATACATACATACATACATACATACATACATACATATATATGAACATGGGTATAGATATTATTTGCATTTCCTAGAACTTCTAGCCATCAGGACGATCCCAGTGGAGCCTTGGAGCCTGCTTCCCAGGGTGTTTTTGTTTGGTGATGATTGATGATTATGAATCTAATGTATCTAATGTGGTTGTATGGAGTATGGTGATGATGAGCTAACCAATCTGATTATATAACTTGTGATGATAGCTAATATCTAATGATTACGTTGTAGGGTGATATTGTGAGTTATGGTGAGATCGTGAACAACGAATGGTTATGTGGATATGGTGGTATAACCATACAACCATATTGTGATTTGATGATATGACTATTAGATTCTAATCATTAGATATTAGTGGAAAAACTAATGGTTGTATGGTGGTATATTGTGATTACAACTAAAATCCAACGAATCTAATGGTCATATAGGGTGATATATGTGATATTCACCAATCTGGTTCTTGTGATTACAACTAACGTCTCGTATTTATAGGGTGATATGATGATATGGTGAAAATCTAACGGTTATATGATGATACAGTGAGATGGTGATATGGTTACTATGGTAAGATATCCATGAAGTGAAGTGATATGGTGATTTACGCCATAGTTATCTTGCAATAACCAATCTATATTGTGATTGTAACTAGTATCTAACGGTTACATGGTGATATGCTGGTATGGTGATGTTTTTCTGTGGTGATCTCATGATTGGACCTTTTGTTACACCACCTATGCTGTGAAAAACATGTGATATCGAATGAACCAGCAATATGATTTGGGAAAAAAAAACCGGGCAATGGCATGAATCATTATTTAGCGGTGAATCATTACTTTTTTTTTTTTTTAAATAGATATATATACTTTAATTATTCTTGTACACTCTCTGGTTATTTGACACATTTAACATAGCTATTAAACTTTGGCCCATTTGTAGATGATCAAAATCGTGAAGTAGATATTTTGCACCATGTTTGATTATAGTATATATATATTTACCTGATACTGAGCCTTTTCAAAACATGATTTTCCAGTTCGCAAAAGCGTTCAACGCAGCTGCCGAGGTGCGCCAATGAGGTGCTGGAGTCCATCCGCAGTGACAGCCCGGACAAGGTTCGACCCTGTTGAAGCACCATTTGTTTTTGCAGATTTTGTATGGTGGAGGTCAACCCCCCCACAAAGAAATGATGGATCATTTCGATTATTGTGAAGAATACATAACATTATATATATACACATATGTATATATATATATATACATACACATATATATATATACATATGTACGCATATGTATGTCTAACTTTCAGCCACGTAGATTGTGGGTGTCTCATTTTCTTTTTGGATTCCCATCATTTCAAGTCCATTTTTTTTGATGTCGACATCCCGTCATTCCACATATTCCATCCAGAGGTGAAAAATTGGGACTAGATCCCGACTGTTCAGACAAACCTAGAACTCATGTTGTTTGTGAACCGTGCCCCATAAAAAAAAATCACATGAAATAAGCCTCTGGTAATTTGTTACAGTTTGCTATTGAAAATGGTCCATTTAGTTCGTTGATTTACCTATTAAAGATGGTGATTTTCCAGCTCGCAAACTGTTAAATTACCAGAGGGTAACCGAAGTATTCCTAATATTTCTATCGTTTCCAGATTTTGATAGATTTTTGGAGCATTTTCATCCAAGGACAGCCCCATTTTTTCCCAAAATTTTTCATATGTTTCCACAATGTTCGAACGACAATGGTTGTTTGTTTCCATTCATCCCCAGTTTTTCCCAAAGTTTTTCATATGTTTCCACAATTTTTGATCAACAATCATTGTTTGTTTCCCATATTTCTCCTCACATTTTTCTCAACTTTCTCTAAATTCCCGCGAATTCTTTCCCATAATTTTCCACCATATCTTTCCCCACACTCCTCACATTTTCCCTTATCCTTCAGTATTTTCCCCAAGATCTTCCCCTCCGGTGTCGACCCAGGCCGCGGAAATCTCTGCCTTATGCGCCTGCGTCGATGCCCACGTGGCGCTGGGAGACGTGGGGGCGCCTCAAGGAGATGGAAAACCATGGGAAAACCATGGGAAAACCATGGGAAAACCATGGGAAAACCATGGGAAATGGAGATGTTTCAGCGAAAATCAGCTAGTTGATGTTTGAGTTTCGCTGAAACATCTCCATTTCCCATGTTTTTCCCATGGTTTTCCCATGGTTTTCCCATGGTTTTCCCATGGTTTTCCCCCTAGTTTCAACAAAGACCATGGTTTCCTGGTTTGAGTTTTCCCGGTTTCGGCGCATTTTTGAGGCGACCAAAGCTTTGGCCAAGGCGGAGGAGGCAGACTGGGGGACCACCTGGACTGGAGGGTGATCTGAGGTTCCAGAAAGATCATGATATCATACCAGAAACCATGGTCTTTGTTGATCATTTTACAATTTTTATCCATTTTTTAATGAGTAAATGGGGGGAAATACATGAAAATACCAGTTAATTAGTTAATTGGTTTTTAGTAAATTGGTTTTAGATCATGGGGGAATAATGGGTGTGCGTCTGAAAATTGGGGATGCACCCAATTTATATAATTTTACAATCTTTTTTGAGGTAGGATATCTTCAGTGTTTTTCCCAGCCATCCCTAAACTCAGTGAAATTGTGGTTGAAGAGTCATAGGTTGCGCATTTTTTGCCATGAGAGC